AAATCCCACCTTGGTTCGTGACTCGGTTGCAAATGTCGTTGTAAAGTGGGCGTTCTGGGATCGGATTCTAAGGCCGAAGAATTCGCTGCGCCCCCTGAGATTGATCCGCTCAATGAAGAGTTCTCACTTTCTCCAGGATCGTCACTGAGCCAGTTGTTCCTCTCTGTTGATCCGCCTCCTGTATGTTGACGTATCCAGTCTTCGGTCAATCGATGTGCTGGACGTCGAGCTCGGTTGGCTAGTACGACTGCGCTGATGAGACCGTCGTGGGACACAAAATCCGGTTCTGTCTGAGACCTTGTGAAAGCTGGAGGAGGACGCAAGAACGGCGTGTGCAACTCAAGATGACGAATTGGCAGATCTTCCGAGTCTTCTGAAGCTTCACTATATGCACTTCGATAGAGTGAACGACTGCCAACCGAAGATCCTACTGGGTGCTGATACGGAGATCCCCAACTAGCTGTAAAGAATGCACTCGTGTCTGTTCGAGGTTCTGATGGCGGGCGTGAAGGCGGAGTTCCAAAAAGATCGATGGTATGACCGTAAATTGTTGGTTCTGGTAGAGGTGGAAGAATAGGAGACGACCCTCCACCCTCAGCAGTTGAAGTGGTTGACAACGCAGGAGATTTCGATGGATCAGGATATTGTAGCTCGAATCCTGCCTCTGCTGTCGTCGTACGAGGAGGTGTTGAAATCAATGATTGAATATTGACTATGAAAAGAAGAAAATGAGCGGATTGATAAAATTCATAGAGTCATAGGAATAGGAATAGAAATTCCAAATCTCCAGTATTTTGCCGAATGAGGGAATGAGAACTGAGGATGCAGGCGGATAACAGGAATAATAAGAAAATAAAAGCATTAAAAAAAGGAACAACTCACCAAAAGTTTTGGAGAACAGGGCAGACGATTTTATATTCGTCTGTCACTGTATCTCTCTTCCTTCCTTTTGATTTTAAAAGAAAATCAACAATTATCAAGTACCTAGCTAGGTATTATTAAATTATGTGAGATGCCTTTCTTCACTCGGACCTCTTATATTATGATATGTTGTTGGGTATTTGGTTTGGGTTTGTGTTTGTTGATAAGAGCGAATGTAAATACAAATTCGACCTTCATTTCACTTCTTCGCTGCGTCCATTACCAACCCGTACAGATAGAGTACATTGTACGAGTAGTTCGCAGGTAGCTATTATTTACCATTTGCCGTAGAATTGTCGCGACGCGTTCGGTAATTAAAGAATGAATGGATCGAGTAAAGCTTCTGACGGTCTGACCCTTGGGGTTGGTTGGCTGACCGGACAGGGAATTGGGAGAACTGGGGGAACTGAGTACAAATTATACGATATAAAAGAGTAAAGGTGTACTTCGAATCGCAGGTGAGGGTAAGAAGCAAGAGGATGAAGGTGTATTGTAGTCGAAAGAGAGGTATGCGATTCAGGATCTTGTCAATTAAATGACATGACAATGAAGATATGGACAATCAGGAATTGGTTAGGCAAGAAGAATGGGAAAGAGTCTTGCTGGCAACTTTTATTGATAGTAACCGTACATACAATAGGTACAGTACAAGAATCGTACAGGGGAAAGGAAAGGGAACATCTAACAAGCAACGGCCAACGAAAGAAGTATATAAGAGAGAGACGTGATACCACCTACCTAGTACCCAGGAAGGTAGTAATCAGTATTGTACAGATAAACCTCAATACGAAGGATCCGGTACTTTCGTAGGTTAGAGTCCAGAGCCTCACGAGTGAAACTAACATGATTCTTATTCATCTCACACCTCCCTCCTACCGATGAGCCTTCCTAATCTCAATTCTCAATCCAAGTTCTCTACCAACCAGTCCTCACCAAATATTGCTACTCGAATAGTTACACATACATCGCACACGAAACATCAGATACTCTTCCTTGCCTACCTAGCTATTCCAAGTACCGCTCTGAGTCCCTATATCAAATAGTTCTTCCAAAAAGATATAGTATGTTGCAAATTCCCAGACGAATCAATAACGAATGAATGCATTGACAGCAGTAAAGGGGGGGGTTTTGATTAATGTTCCTTAGTTTTCTTAGGTTCGAGCACAATGAGCGAGCCAATACATTATTGAAGAAGACAACCATAGTAATAATCATATCATCACTATCCATATCAATCCATATCAATCAATTGACAAGACGCTCCGCTGGCCCTCCGGGAGCCACTGCCGTGGAGGCAGAATATTTCAATCAATTTAATCAATCAAATCATCATACCTAGATATCACTGTCCTCTACGAGAAACAAACAAATAAACAAATAAATCAATAAGTAATATATCTATAATAAAACCTCTCTATAAAGATTCTCTCTATAAGGATAACCTCTTTATAAAGATATATTTTTTAATCTCAAAAATTTTTAGAATTAAAAATGATTTATATTCTTAAAACTTTTTTATTAAAATATTCTTATATTTTTCAATTTCAAAATTATATATATATATATATTTATTAAATTAATAGAATCATTAGAATAAATTATTATATAATAAATCTTTTAGAATTTTAAAATGAAATTTAATTAAAATTTCAAAAATATGATAGAAATAGTTTGATTAGAATTAACCCTAAGAAAATTATTATTATATTAGAATTAAATAGAACCTTTTTACAAAAATATCTCTACGATATATAGCCTTAAAAAAGATTACAAAAACCAATATCCTTACCTATAGAGAGGTTTTATTATATCTATCTCCAAGCAAAATAAATCTCACCCATCCCATCCATCCATCAACCTCGAAAGTCTTACAATCTTACAATCTCTCCCGGGTAATCGTGAGCAAGGCAAGGCGAGCCAAGCATTGTAAAAAACGTGGAGCCATCCCATTAGTTCAGGGTCTTTTCACGGACAGCTACAAGTTACAACTCCGTACAATACAGACAGCTACCAAACCTTAGGTACCCCTAACTAACACCACAGCTAACGGTCCGACCCGCAAAAAATACGCCATATGCGTGGTCTCGGTTCCAGACTCCAGAGCCACATTACATATTCCATTTTTCACCAGAAGCCATCAGACGAATGTGAGGGACGAGAGAGGGGCATTTTAGCATTCAGGACAAAACGTGCAATGGGAAATTCAAAAATATGCGCGCGCATACATGGAGATAAATCTTGGTCCCTTGCATGAGAAAGTTCCCCTAGGGCAGTATCGTAGATGAGATCAGAGATGCACAAAAGACGTTGCCAAGCCAGCATGGCATTGCAAAAGAGCGGAGAAGGAAGAAGATGAAACAAATGGTATCTCGAAATCCAAAGCTAACAAGCTAACAATCTAATCGCAAATCTACAGTCCTATTCTTCCCTCACTTCAATATCAAATCAATGTGCGAGCGAACGATCCCCCATACTATCCACGAATCTTCCCCTTCCTCAATGCAGACCCGGGCGATAATCTCGGAGCTCCGAATCTAACAGCTCAAGGAGTATTTACTGCTTCGGTCGCTGTTCCAGACTCCCCAGTGAGTTTCATCCGCGACAGATCCGTCGGCACCGGTAGATACTGGCTTCCATGGCTCATCGAATGCCTCGAAGGAGAAAACATTTACACCCCAATCCATTATGCCACAGATTGCCTCACTCCAGAAAGTTTGTGCAGACGTTGTGCCAGGGACGGCGTTTTGGTATTTTGAGCCTGCTGTGGGCCAACCTATTTAGAAATCACGTTAGCATATGTATAGAATATGAGCATGAAAAATCGACCATGGCGTTGTATCATGCCCAGGATAACTTCGCATGCTGTGAACACGAAAGTAGATGCAAAGAAAATATATGTCATACCAGTCTCTCCAACCCAAAGTTCAGGTCCATCAGTAGATCCAGCAACATCCTGAATGTGACCAAAAGCTTGCATAATATCATCAAAGAAACTATGCGTTGCGTTCTTCAATTCTTGTCCCTGCCAATAACTGAACGCATTGCACAACAAGATATCCGCACCCCCCTTGATAACAGCATCGGCTGTCCCATCCATATATTTATTCCAACTATCCGCCGTTCCAACCTTGAAGTCTCCATTCAACGCCTTCTTGACATCCTGAATCTTCTCGAGAAGTTGTTCACCGGTGAAGTTTCCACGGTAGAGAGATTCCGACCCGACAGTAATAGCATAGACCTGATCGCTATATTGCGGCGCATACTTGACTACTGCTGCTTTATCCGCGGCGAAGGATTCATCGGTATCGGGCCTTTTGCACATGATTAGCCATCCAAGCTGTCTCCAAACATCCCGTTCTCATCAAATCAAATCAAATCCACATACCAAATACCCAAGACAACCTTGAAGCCCTTCGACTTCGCAGCCGGCAGGATTTCCTTCGCAGTATCGCAATCGCTTGCCGCATATCCTCGCACGATGCGAGCAGTGCTCCCTTTGGAAATCGTGTCGAAATCGGCTTCGTAATCGGCGGTGAATTTACATGTTCCATCGGTCTTCTTGTCACCAAGAGCAAATCCCAATGTACCTGCTGCGGTAGCAGTGGAAAGAACTCCAGCGAGTGGAAGAAGAGTTGCGAGGGAGCGCATCGTAGTTTAAGGTTGTGGGTTAAGGTTAAAAGGACTGTGGGGTGTGGAGATGGAGAGAATGCGCGTTTGCTGTTTGTTTACGTGTATATGCAAAGGGAAAGTAAATAAAAGAGTGACTTGCGAATTAAATCGACTGATAATTCATGGACTATTCAAACACTTAAAGAGTGGCAATTGCGATGGCAAAAGAGATGGTGAGGTGAGTGAGGTCGGTTGATAAATTGTATGAGAAAGTTAATTGAGATTTGAGGTCGTACAGTATCAAGGGGGATTTTACGCTTTGCCGGAAAGGATTGATTGAAGAGATTGGATGGCTTGGCGGGGTTATTATTATTATTATTGCTATAAGAGCGCTTGGCATTGAAGAAACACGAGATGAGAAACATTAGATGTAAAATGAAATGATAATGAAAGGGGGCGATCTTGGTAAAAAAGATTTCAAACATTTTCAAACTTTAATTATCATTAGTATATCCAATGTTCATCTTCCGTGGTTCAATCTACCTTTCCAATTCCTCTTCTATGCATATCGAAAAGATAACAATTCAAAAACGCCCTTCCTCTGCTCTCAGTAGCGGTCTATTGTACAGGTTCGATACTAAATATGAGATCCCCCCAATGCAATTTGTACTTGTTCATCATATATATCGCCTATTCAACAGCAGTGGTTGGAGTTGGCTTTGGTGCGTACATCCTAAATTGAAGGAAGATCACTGCATCTTCAACAATCGTTCCCAAAGATCCAATGAGCCATGGGGTATTAATGATGAGATATTCTTTCTCCAAGGAATGGAAGAGAATGCCAGCACCATACGTTAGGTTTCCCATCAATGAGAGAAGGAAGAAAAGAAGTGCGAGACCTGTGGTTATTAGCTTAGGTCTTGTGAAGGGGCCAAATTAAATCGCATACCGTCACAAGACTTTTCCTTATAGTTCTTCAAGATTTGAGGAATTCGAGCGCTTGATAGATAATATGATTAGCCCACGTCCTTTAACTTTCTTTTCCCATGAAATAACTCACCCAAGGTAGCAAATTGCACTAAAATATCCTAGTATCTCTGCGCCAACAGCAACTTCGTTCGTCTTAGGAACATCACCTCCATTCTCTGGTGTAGGCGTCCAGACACCACTTCTCCAAGCAATAGCCCATCCAGCTGTCCCAGCAGCAATAACCAACAAAATGCTAACAATATTCTTAACCCAAGCATTTGCATCTGGAGAATCATCCCCTTCCAAAATCTTGATCAAGGTATCTTCATGACATTGGCTTCCACTCATCGCTGAGGAGCGTCTTCTATGAGATCCTGGAAGTCCAATATTACTGTTACTTCGTCGACGGGCAAGAAGAGGATCTTCCTCAGTTGGGGCAATAGATTCCGTTTCTTGGCGTTTCTGAGCATTGATTTTGTTGTAATATAAACATTGTGAGATAAGTACAAAGTCCGCAATGCAGAAATAGATGGCTAGAACAGTTACTGTAGGGACAAGATCTGCCCAGATTGCACCTGAAGACGAGTTAATGTACGCACGTGACAATCGAAGAATGGGATCTTGGATGGACAAGTTGGTAGATTGGGAAGAAGAGTCATCAATATCAAGATCATGGTTTTCAAGACCACGACATGATTGTTCAGATCGTGCGACCCTCCTCCAGATCCATCTTTGAACTTACCAGCAAGATTCGCAACATCGCCAATAAACCAAACCGACAAGAACGCCAATGATACTCCATCGGCACTCTGAGACCGATAGTTCAAAATAAGTTGTGGTACCTAGAACGATCGAATCACATCAACATGAGGATTCATGACCCAATACCATAAACCCTCCATACTTTGGTTGGGCATGAAGGATTCCAAACTGGATACAGAGGTATGACGAACCAACAAAAAGATCCAAGTTGCTAAACTGATACTTCCAAAGATGCCCGATAACGCTTCTTGGACGGATAAATCGTGTGATAAGGACAATAGCGACATGATGATGTCTATAAATTATATCTTTATATTTTTGGGTTGGATGTGATTTGAGGGCATCGATGAGATTGATGATATCGATGATAAAGACGATAGATAAATATGAATGACGAGAATTCGAGTACTCGAGTATCTGAGTAGGTATCCAAGAGTAAATATTGTTGTTCTTGATATCACTTGGTCAATGTCTCAATTGAAATCACGGAATAAGAAAATTTAAGGATGATGTGATTGGGTGAATGAAAGAAAATGTTTTTGTCTGAAGTAGTACCAATGGATTTTCCGGGCGATTTGCAGATTCTGCGATAAGATCGTGATTGGACCAATAGGAAGTGTAGTTTGATATACCCTTAATCTTGAGTTTTTATCGTACTCTGGTATTACATCATCGGATGTGTCGAATGAATGGATGAGTGATTGAATGAATGAATGCCGTGTGGTGTGAATAACTTCAATGTCTCAACTATCATTTTGTTGACAACAGTGAGGTATTCCTGAAACTTTTTGAAGAGGCCGCATACAAATATGTATATTCATATGTATATTCATCGTTATCATGACCATCGCGAAAACAACAGACAGAGAAGTACCGATACAACATGATTTTCTGCCATCATTCTTGTCCATCCAAGTGAAATCCATATTCGGTATTCAAAGCTGGCAAATCTACATGCGACCATCAAGTTTGGAGATACGAGGACATTTCTATTTCATCTGCAACACTATCATCACCATCCCGCTCATTGCTCACTTCTCACTGCTCACTGCTCACTGCTCACTGCTCACTGCCAACCCCCCAAACCTCACATCAACCACAGACCACACTCAAGCCAGCAGACTTCGCACCCTCGAACCAAACCCAGTCACCATCCACACCATCCCAAAAACAACATCATTCTTCAATCGACCTCTTCCTTTCGAAAACTCCTCCATTCACCATCATATACTGGATGGGGAGATATCCTCACAATCGGCTAGGTCCCACGGGATCACAATGGCATTGAAAACCATTGAATGGGTTCGCAAGAGTCATTCTGTTCTACTATCCGTATCAATTCGGCTGCTTCTCTTCAAGATTACATTTATCTCCATGCGCGGATTTCCATTCACCTGGTAAGGTTAAAATAGGAATTGCATGCAGCATGTGTTATTCAACAATTGAGACTAGTGTCTTTAGTTGAAATAGAACTCACACCATCACACAACTGTGAATACAAAGATTCCTATCCTCTCACTAAAACTTTTTTCAAAACAATAAATCCAGCCAATTTCAAAACCCCAACCTAAATATGGAAACGAATAATTCCATCCACAAATCACTATTGACAACCAAGTACAAGACGAGAATGGTCCGGATAAGATGTTTCCCAGGTAAGATTACTACCTACCAAACGGGGAATTCCTCCAATCCAACTCTTTTCTTCATCTTATAGATATAATAATGAACAGTCGATTCATCACGATCAATTTCCTAGCATAGGATGAAACCACCATACCACAAATTGAGGGTGCGGAGCGAGGATTCCCAAGTATGAAATCTGATGTTATATAAGTTAATCCTGTCAAGCTGTATATATAGTATAGTGCAGTTGCATTTCCAAGGATCAAACTCTGTTTACCATTGCTTGATTTGAAATTTAAAGATTACTTAGGCACCCCGTTAGAAATCTGAATTGTTTCCCCTTGCGCTATTAAGATGTCAATTCATCTCTTTCTATTCTCCAACCATGTCACATGCATATCAGGGTCTTGATAAATTAATCTCACGAATCTCTACCAGAAAATGATCATACATTCACATAATCACAAAAAAATACAAAAGTCAATCTCATCTATATCCAATCAATACTTTCATTTGCATTACCATTTCCCCTCTTCCCTCTCTCTACAATCTACGTAGTAAAAACAGCAATATCATACTCCTTCAACTCAAACTCAAACTTTCCCCCCGCCCCCGCCGTAACATTCTTCACCGTCTTCACAACCACATCCTCACCCCCATAAACATTCACCGCATTTCCCTCGGGCGCATTCAACACCGTGAGCGTCCCCACCGCACCCGCATGCACCCCTTCAAAATCAATCGAGAACGGAACCGGCGCGGTGGTATTGTAGATTGCAGCTTTGAAGACATATTCCCCGGGATCATTGACGCCGATGACGTAGAACGCGGGACCGAAGGGCGAGGTACCGTTCCCGGAGTTGGAGACGCGGAAGGGAACGGTGGCGTTGAAGCGGTGGGTGGAGAGGAGTTGCAGTTGGTGCCAGGAACAGCTGAGGACCGTTTTGGCGGGGTCGGCGCTGAAGGTTATGAGATCGGGCTTTTGGGGGGAGGGATGGTTAGTTACGGGTTGTTCGTCTGAGTGAGAGGTAGTTTGGGATCAAGAATGACTTACGGTCCATTGGGATGAATTGATGTTTTGGAATCCAGGAGCATATGAGGCTCCGAGGACGATGTCGCCATTTCTTTCCATGCCGAGAAGGTAGATGGCTTCACCGACTGCACCAACCCAAGTTCCGTAGTCTAATTTGGCGGCGCTCCAGTCGACGGGTACACCATTTGCGTTTGGTTGGATGACGGCGTACTCGCCTAGTAAGATGGGGTAAGATCGATTTGCGTTATCGAAGAGGTCGAATTGGACTGCGAAATCATCGGGTCTGAGATATTGATGGAAATCCGTTCCAGATGTGTGAGGGGGGCCGACAGAGCGAAGATCTTGAGTCGAAGAGAGGACGAGGATATCTGGGTATTTCGCATGGATGGCGTTGAAAAACATGGGCCAGCGGTAGGCGATATATGAGGGTTCTCCTCCGTTGAGGTTATCTTCATTGCCCACTTCTACAATGTTGATTTTCCACGGCTCGGGGTAACCAAGGGAAGCACGAAGAGCTCCGTATGTTGTGCTGGTATCGCCCATGAGGAACTCGAGTTCGTTCATCACATCATCAACATATGGCTGGAGTTCGGCTTCAGGTACAACCAATACTTGTGTATCGTCGCTGCGGAGGTAAAGACCGGCCCAGACTCCTAGGACTGGCTCGACATTGAGATCGGTGCACCACTTTAAGAGATTAGCTTGAGTATTTGTTGGGTTTGGAGAGGGATTGAGAGCTCACGTTCATGTATTCAATCAAACCAAGTCCATCGGTGCTAGATTGTTACAAAATTAGCATCCAGAGATTATCGGTCAAGACATGTTTGTAGTAGAAACTATTATGCTTACTTTTGGTAACCCCAGGTTCCTATTGGAGTATTAGCCAATACGTTCATGAGTAGACTGGATTCGGATCTCAATACATACCTGGTCTTCCTGGACGATCTTTGAGAGGGCCAATTGTCTCATTCCACGCCCATCGGTAACCGTAAGAGTCTCCCTCACTGTTTTCCACAATGATTAGTAATGCCTACAAGAAATAAGACAACACAGAATACGTACATGTTATTTCCTCCTGGAATTCTGAAGAAACTTGGATTTAGATCTTTCATGGCTTGTACAAGCTCCGGTCGAAGACCATTTGGTCTATCATTGTAAGTTGGTGGGAAGAGACTGATGAGATTGAAGTTGAGAGAATGACCACTTTCGAATTCGATGGTGAAGTCATTGTTGACATCTGGAGCTGCAGCGGTAGGTTCGAGGGTGAAAGGAAATTCGGTCCATTCTTCCGAGGTGGAGTTGGATGGTATATCGACAGTCGCAAACACGGTTCCGGAAGTTGCACCGACCAAGCTTGCCGTGAAGTTCCCAGTGTATGCACCCAGAACCCAAAAACTTCCGGTATATTTTTGAGGTTGGACACTGAATCCCCACCATCCGGGATTGGAGAGTCCAATTGTCCCCGTGCTATTGGCATATGTGCCATTGGATGATGCACGAACATTGACTGATGTAGGCAATGCGGAGGATAATGGTATTGATGTATTTTGTAAGGTCAAGACCGAACTTCCAATTGCTGTCCATGGCTCCAAAGTAGATGCAAATTCTCGGTTTCCTTGAAATGCTCGATTTTGAATCAGTTCGGCATAGATTCCCCCTTCACCAGAATGATTGATGTCCTCGAACATGAGACCATATGCTAATGGAGAAGAAGCATTCCCACCACTTGCAGATGCAGTGATATTGATGGCACTGGCAATGCCAGCAAGCACCGGTAAAACAGAAAGACTAGAATAGAACATTTTGGAAGCTTGAGATTGAAAATAAATGCAACCTCACAGCAATGGTGGGAAATGAAATCATGTAACTACAAGTTCCCAGCACTATATATACCTCGGAATTACGATTTCCCAAGACTTCACTTCACGTATGATTCTTTTCCCTGCATCTCGGAAGAACAGAAGACATGGACCCACAAGTCGCCATAGGTAGATATTGACCCGAATACACGCAACGGGAGGTCCATCGTGGTCATTGCAGCAAACATGCCAAAATGAAGCTATTTCCTAAGCGATCGAATGCCGAGCACATCTCTCCGCATTTCGCAAGCTTACGGCATTGATAGACATGAAAGGAGACTTCCGATTGATGCGCATCAAAGTTTTCGCGAGCGATGCCCGTCCTTGCAGGTTCTTCTTTTTCCACCTTCAGGCTATGTGCATATTTAGTTAACCTTACCGCACCAACTTCGGGACCCCGGTGGTGGAGAGTGTGGGGAAGGTGATTCTTAAAGTTTCGAGTCTTTGCGGGGTGAGGATCGTAAATTGGAGTGGAAGTTGGTCGCGAGAGAAGAAGTAGGAAAATGATAATAGATGAAATGGAAGAAAACGTGGAGAAGATACGTCTTGGGATATGCCCGGTGAAATCTACTTGGCGTCTCATCAACACCTAGGTAGGTATTTGCAATAAGGTTATATCTGATGACACAATACATTCCCACCAATCAAACCTTTCAATCCTTACAAATGTGACATCCAAAAGGCAATGCTTAATATATATTCCACGATCGAGAGCACGCTTCTGTACGTTGCCTATCACATTCCAAGATCGTTATAGATAGACGTCCAAGTATACTAGAACTCGAAACACAATCACAATTACAATCACAATATCTACCTAACACCTACTAGAAGCATCGTAGTATATATTACATCTCTCTACTTTATATCGTACATCTGACAAAAAATCACACCAGAATTAACTAATTACCTAATATGTACTTCCCCCCATATCAATCAACAATCACACTTCCACAATAAAACAACTACATCTTTATTCACCAAAAAAAACTATCAATATCAATATCAAATAAAATCCAACCCCATTTTCATATCTCTCCTCACATCATCTATCATCTCTCAACCCTCATTCCATTCCCTCTCGATTACTCTGCAGACGATAATTCACTTCCTATGCTAAAAGTATCATTCCATTCCATTTCGTTTCGCCTCTTTTCGCCTCGCTAATACATATCAATCACTTGCATCCATCCATTCATCCATCCAGCCCAGCCAGCCTGTTTCTTCTCAGATATAGAGGAAGTAGGTAGGTAGGTACCTAGTACTTCCCTTCCATCTGCATGGTGCGAATTAGTGAATATATCTATTTGTATGATATACTATACGAATTCATTATTCATTTATTATTTATTTATTATCTAGATCCTAGATCCTAGATCCTAGATAATCTCGACCGAAAAGTTATACATTCAAGCGAGTCGACGAAGTAAGTACCTAGAATCTTTCTCAACACGAAGAGCACAGCAGCAAATACACCAACTAATTACAAGATCGCAAACAATAAACAGAACTTATTCATATCACTCTGAAGCGATCTATCTATCGCCCAATTAAGAGAATGAGATTCCATAATGAAGTAAGTATACGGTAACCTCATGTATGAGTAATAATTCTAGAAAGCTAGATATTAACAAACTGCTCAGAGAATGCTCACTGCTAGATATGTGAATACCATCTCAAGTCTCGACTACAAAGGTCGATCTTGAATTTGTATATGAGAAAAAATCATTGATAAGACGATGTGAAGATGCTTAATGTGAGAATATCTGATTCTTTCAATATCCGAGTGAAATGCCAACACCATCGATAGAGATTAACACAAAGGAAGTCTTCGAGATTATCAACTACCTAATCATTCATATCTTTGACGCTTTCGACGATTTTCATCACCCACGGGAACATTATTAGCACCGCTAGCCCCTCCTCTATCTCTATCTGGCATGAATCGTTCATCCTCCGTAGATCCACCCATCCCCCCTCCACCCCTCTTCGGACCTCTATCATCAAAATTCCCCCATCTGCCCGTATCTTCCGACTTCAAATCTTTGTACTTGGTCGCTCCTTTCTTTCCTAATTTCGTCATATCCCTCATTTGTAATGCTTTTGGGAGCAGCTCTCGATTTTGTACATCATCCGCATATCTAGAACCCATGATGTCTCTTTTGTCTAGACCTTCTGCAGCTAATGCATCTGAGTAGAAGGCACCCTTATGATAGTACTTCTGCATTGTTGCCATTTTCCCTCTGCCTTCCCTCTCCTCCTTCTGCTTCGCAATATATTCGTCATCTTCTTTCTTCCTCTCTTCCTCCGTCAAATTCCTCCTCCTCTCGACTTCTTCCAATTCCTTTTCTCGCTCTTCAATTGCCTCCCTATCTCTCTTGATTCTTTTGAGCTCTCTCAATTTCCATGCCGCAAGCTCCGCCTCTGGATCAATATCGTCGGTATCGTCCACCTCATTCTCCTCTTCCTCATCATCCCAGTTCTTCTTCCCCGCTTCCCTCGCAGCGATATCTTTTCTGATTTGCTCTTCAACAATCTCATCTGCCATCTTTTTCCTTCGTTCTTCCTCAGCCGCAGCCAACTCCTCTTCCGTTTTAGTATCCGTGTTAGAAGCCCCAGGTAAATTGTTCCGCTTCTCCTTCTTGATAAATATCGGCCTCATCATAACCTTTCTAGGCGCCTCTTCTTCACTACTCTCTTCCTCTTCGCTATCTTCTTCACTTCCCTCCTCACTACCTTCTTCCTCTTCTTCACTTTCTTCTTCCGTCACAAATCCCTCTTCTTCTGCAGCCTTCACGGCCTTTTCTTCTTGAATTCGCGCATTTTCTTTGGCTGCTGCGACTTTCCTCCTCTCGTTTATGTCACCTTTCAGTGAACTGCTAGAGATGCCAATTGCGGTTGAAGCTTTTGGGGGCGGCGCAATTGTAGGTGTCTCTTCTGCATCACTTCCAGAATCAGAAGAATCATCTTCTTCAAGATGTGCTTTGCCCGGTCGATATCGTGATGGTTTAATTGGATTCGCGGTCATACGTTTCCCAGACATGATTAAGATTGAATATATGAATGATGCTAACAAAATCGAGTTGATAGATTGAATTGCGTGTAACGTATAGATAGAGCTTGGGATGTTTCACGAGGCTGAAATAGAGCAATTCTTAAGCTGCCTTGCTGCACTTACCCCTGCAAAAGAATTCATGGGACCAGAATTATACGCTAAGATAACGGTGGGTGGGAGTGCAGTGACTTATCAAAATCTTATTTATCGTAAAATTTCATATCAATATTGATCAGTCGGCAGTGAAATGTTGTTATTTTCTCGGAATATAATCTTAATTCATATATAGTTTGCATTATGTGTTTTTGGAAGCCAAATACAAGGGGCAGATATTCTTCCTGAGGAAACCTGCGCTTTATACGAGTATTTGACATTGCAGTCAAATCTTGAGCGCATAGATTGTATGCTTCGACTGTAAAGTTCCACAGACCGCAAAACTGTATCTGTGAATTGCTTCCTTTCCACTATTCAGAGCTCTGCAGCTATATGGTTTTACCATCTTACAAAATTCCTACTCTCAGTACTTGGTTGGAGTCCGATCGATCATCCCATATTTCTATCAAATCAACCCTTCATGATTTATTGGTATCAAAGTCATAATTTTGAGCGTGCAAAATTCTTTTCCCTTCCTTTGGTACGCCAGTTCGCCATGCAAATATAAGATTGCCCTCTCAAATTTATAGAATCTCTTCTTCATCCTCCACTGGTGTAGGCAATGGGGCTGATTGGAGCGCAGCAGGAGCAATTGGAGCAACTGAAGTGCCATCCATTTCAATTTCTCCTTGCGATTGATCATCCTCAACGTCGACGTCCTCCTCCCCCTCAGAGATCTCGTTCTCCTTGTCCATTGCTGCTTGAACAGCTTCCTGTGCCTTTTTGTTTAAAGCTTCCCACGTCTTTGCTCTTTCTTGAACATTCCTTCCTCTGTATTTGCTCTTCTCGATTTTCGTGGACGTTCTATCCATTACCGCTTCTGCTCGGTCCATTCCCTTGTTTTGTCGCTTCTTTGCCTTTGAACTCAATTGCCTTCCACCCTTCTTCTTAGACACACCGGCACCTTGATGTGGAGATAGAATTTGTGGATTGTATACTTTTTCTGCTGGAGCCTTGACATTTTTGAGAGACTTATCGGTGTCGATACTTGGAGATGATGCACGTTTTGCTGCGCGAGAACGTACTGAGGTCGCTGGTGGATTTATTAATACTGAAGTCTTGAGATAGAAGAGAAGATTTCATGTTTCACTTACAAGCCTTATTCTTCAGAGGTGCAGTTTTACCCATTGTGATAGATGAACAACAAAGGTATTTATTTTTGGAGGTGTTTTCTTTTGTTTTCTTTTTGTATCTTGTTTCTTGTTTCTCTCTCTTTTTCTTTTTCTTTGAATCTTTGAATCTGCAGATATGAATTATTTCGTTGTGGGGTAATTACTCAGTATCTAACCTATCTACTAGGGATCCCAACGCTTCCTATCCACTAAAGACTTTAACAGACATAACACTAAACTACATTGGCACGATTGGCAGAGACACACGAGGTGTCCTCACATGTTTATGAGTTATTACTTATTAGCACACATTTGGAGAAGTTATTTTTACTGTTGTTACTATTATTATTAATATCCATCTAGTCAATAAAAGCACAAAGCCGTTCAAAATAAACACTCTACTATACCTGCTAGGCTGCTAGATATGCATACCACCACCAACCACATGGAGTTTCTACAGCATAACAACATCACTCTCAAAATCTTTACAAACTTTTTACATCTTTAAATACAATACCGTGACATCGGCTTCTGACCTCTGGCTCCAGAATTAAATATCTCTCTAGTAATGGTACTTAATCATTCACGTCCGCCTTAATGTGATAATTTGAACTTTGTCGCATTCGCCTTTGCCTTCGCCTTTGCCTTCGCCTTTGCCCACGCCTTCGCCTTCGCATTCTTCGTATACAATCTTTCAACAGAAACTCAATCATTCCATACCATCCCTCCAACTCTATTCACCCACCCAAGCATGAATCCTCAAAACGGGCATATGTATGATCTCTTTGACAGAGATCAGTTTACAGCAGATGATTATCATCAAGATTATACTGAAGGATTATATCAGAAGGAACGATTTGGAATAGGAACCTTCTTGTCGGTATCAGCTATTGTTATCGCATTAGCCTATCAAGGCCTCATCAATCTCGATTATGACCTCCTGCCTCCCTCACAATTGGCTTGGAACGCTCTAGTTTACCTGACGCCTTCTGCATTGCTCGATTACGCCGACCATTATTCAAATCCTCTGCCAATACGAAATCCCAACACAATGACATACCCGCAGACACATGCGCAAAAAAGTGAGATGATGCGCCGTCTATTTGGCTTGGACACTCATGGCGGGATTATAGATTCCGTCGCAAGTGCTGGGAGGAGAAGACTATCAACTCTTCCTCTCATCGGTGGCTTGGGGGTTGTGGGAGACGATGAAACGCCTGCAGGATTAGGAAATTGGGACAATTCCTGCTATCAAAATAGCATTCTACAAGGACTAGCATCATTAGACTCACTGCCAGATTTTCTTGAAAGTTTTCAAAACGATGAAGCTCTCCAACAGGAGGGTTCGAAATCCGAAGATGTCAAAATGGCCAATGCTTTGAAGGAGTTGATTGCTACTCTAAAGGACAAATCGAATAATGGGAGGAGGATCTGGACACCGGCAGCATTGAAAAACATGAGTAGTTGGCAACAACAAGATGCGCAAGAATACTTTTCTCGTCTTCTTGGCGCAATAGACAAAGAGTATGGAACAACAACAAAGTCGGGCGGGGTATCGGGATTGGAGCAGCTCAATATTCTGAAAATTTCGAGTCAGCAACCATCACACACTCAAGCTTTGTTTCCAAATCCTTTGACCGGACTTACCGCCACTAGGGTTGTGTGCACCAAGTGCGGTTACTCCGAAGGCTTGAAAACGACGCCTTCTCTTTGTCAGCCTTTGATTGTTGGGGAAGGCTGGGAATATGATCTCTCTCAATTGCTTCACGAAGGTACAAAGCTAGAATTTGTTAATGGTGTATACTGTGAGAGATGCACACTACAGAAAAGTCAGCATTTGCTTTCTACTTTGATGGAGCGGCTTAAGGCCGAACCGGAAGATAATCGAATTCGCATAAATACATCGGAACGACTACGGGCCGTCACAGAAGCACTAGAAAATGATGATTTTGCGGAAAAGACACTTAAGGATAAATGCAAAATACCTATAGAAAATTGGGTATCAGTTACCAAATCAAAACAAGATATAATTGCTCGGCCTCCAAAATCTTTAGCCCTCCATCTCAATCGAAGTACGTATGGGCCCGATGGAGAGTTGAGTAAGAAGACAGCCGCTATTCGCTTTCCCAAATATCTCGATCTCGGCCCGTACTGTCTAGGTAGTGCTGGACACAATGATGAAGAACATGACAACGAAGAATGGCTCTTAGCCCCATATGACTCTATGGTTGCGGGAATACGAAAGAAATCTCGGATACAAGGGCCAGTTTACGAATTGCGGGCAGTTGTTACCCATTCTGGAAGGCATGATAATGGTCACTATATTTGCTACCGAAGACATCCAGTTTCGGAAATCAAAACTGATGAGAATGGCAGCAAACAAGATCAATGGTGGCGTTTAAGTGATGATCACGTCATCAAAGTCAGTGAAGATAATGTCCTGGCGCAAGGAGGGGTATTTATGCTCTTTTATGATCAGATAGAGCCTGCTGTTCATCTATCAGCCCAAGACTCCGTTACCGATACATCGATGCAAGATGCTGGTATAGAAAAATCGGCATGCAGCTCCCAAAGTGAAACCACTCCTTTCACATCTCGTGAGGCGATCTCAAACTCAACAAAGATTACACCTCTCACTGAGACCGATGACGCAGACCACGTCATGTCAAGATCTTCGTCATCTTCTAATTTATCAGACGTAGACACGTACTTTACGAACAACGAAAATCATGACAACGAAGAAATCACTGCCTCAGAAGGCTCAGATAGGGACGAAGATACTAAGCAAACAATGGAAGCGAGATATACTCCGACTAAACCTATACTGATACCTCAACCCTACATGCGTACAAGTAAAAGCAAAAATGGGAGGGATAGTAGTGAAGGGACGAGAGAGAATAATATGGGGGGATTGCTTATGGTATAAGCTGGGTAACAAGGGAAACTTTAGGAGGAATAGGATACTGTATTTGTTACTTTGTATGCATAGCGTGGCGTTTGAATTGGATTCGGTGGGTTCGAAGGGTTCGAAGGGTTCGAAGGGTTCGATAGCATTGGGTGGAAGCTTGGTTCAATACCAGTCGATGCCGGACTATCCAGGAGATTATTTTACCTCGGCGTATTGAGGACAGCACAAGTATAGGTTAACTCCGAAGTTAGAATAAAATACATTCATATCGTTGAATCCACTGACATGGTATCTTGATTACTCTTAAACAGCGACGAAGGTAATCTTGGATTTCCTTCCCGCACTCCTCGCATTTTTGATATCTCAAGTTCTCAACCATGATGAAATGTTGATTGAGATTACGACGCACGTATCCTGAAGGTCTCGGATGATCTCATTCTTACTCCGTAGACTATCTTGTGGCTTAATGCCGATTTTATCGGTACATACCTACTTCAAATACATCTGATTCCGATCGCAATACGCGGACTCCATGCTTTCTTTCAATTTGATGGCAAGCAATCACAGGAATTCCCGGGAGGTATTACTCTCTACTTTATTAATATCTCGGAGCAAAGTACCAAATCGTTAGATATCGCTTAGTTACCGAGCAATCTTGGATGTACAGTCTATACATAGGAGAAAAAACAGGCCGGAATTGACCACTACGCAATGATACGTGCACCCTTACCAAAACAACGCGTAGAGAGCATTGGTCAATTCCGGCCTGTTTTTTCTCCTACGTATACGTAGACAGTACAGTAAAACGGATATCGCTCGGATGTTTTTTTTGGGGGGGGGGGGGAGGAGATTGGGAAACTCTATTTATTTATTATGTGAGCTGGGGACCTGGTGGGTAGGTACTAGGTAAGCTTGTAAGTTAAGTGCTTGGGTAGGGATTGGTTATAGTAGGATAGGATAGGATAGGATAGGATAGGGATAGGGTAGGGTAGGGAATATATCACGGATTCGAAAAACTGATTTCCGAGGATGGGGCTGGATGGGTGAGATGGGGCGCTAGAGATGAGATTTTTTTTTTTTGAGATTTTTTTACTCCCTACGGAGTATGGACTTCGGAGGGGTTTGGACAGGGGATGGTGGATGGTGGATGGGAAATTTTGGGAATGAGGATGAGGATGAGGAAGAGGAGGGAGGGTTTTGTAAGGAGTAAGGAGTGAGGAGTAGGAAGTTTTGGAGATATGTAAGATTACCTAGGTATGAACATTAAACCTGGAATGTTGAAATAGTTGGTAGCGTTTATGGTCTCTAATATTGAGACCTGGCCTGAAGAGACGATTAGCTATTGAGAATGCTTGGTATATTTGAAAACACCTACCTACTCACGAAGTAGGTAGATTTATTTGTTAAGGCTTTGAAGGGTTAATGAGATCTTGAGGATCTTCAATAGCTTATTATAGGTAGCAAAAAAGCTTGTCTATTGCTTTGGGGGGAGGTACAAGTAATGGAAGGATCTGAAATGATCTAGAAATTGGTGATATATACTAGGTAGTAATATAGGTTTGGTATATAGTACATGTCAATGAAATCGAATGTGAGAGTATCAGTCCTTCGATGAAACGAGCCACGATTCGAGTGCGATGGAACACACACAATCTTGGGATACCTAGATAGATACTACGTAGTTGATAGCAAGAACTTTAAACAACAAGCGACAAACTAGATTTTGAGTCTAATGATCCCTTTCCCAGCTGAAACGGAGTTAAGGTATGAAAGTAGTCTCACCGGTCGGCACCATCACGCAACCCACCCATCCACCCAATTTGCCCCATCGTCTTTCATTATGAGGATTCTCTGCGTCTATACGGGCAAATGGAGTTTGACCCAATTTCCCACGGTAGGAAGTGATCCTAACCCCAGATTTTCATCTGCAAAATCGGTGTTAAGCTGGATGTACCGACAACCCGTTTCTCATATGTTTGTCAATGTCTCCACTGCCTACCCAACATCTACGATGAGTGTTTTGGTACTTTCTCTCTCTCTCAAACAAGCGAACATTGTCAGATCGAAGGTTTATATTATATGATATGACTCTGACTATTACGATGACTTTGAATAATAAAGATGATTTATAACTCCGTTTGTAATTCTATATTAATATCTCGATTATACCTAGGTGGGCACTTTTTACCCAGGTAATCTTCCCATTTCGATATTTCCAAAGGTCTCATTTTTAGTCGATTTGTTGGTCAAAGGAATCTCATGCACTTCACTTGATTATATACTTTGACTTCTCTTCTTTTCTCTTTACTCTACTTCCCTCTCTTGTTGTAATTTTCAGTAGTACTACTCTATTCTATCATACTCCAACTTCCTTCTATATACGTCCTATCGTTACTACCATTTTCTTTCTTACTGGTAGATTCTCCATTACTTGTATTTTATGAAGATCTTATAATATCTAATTTTGGACCTCTCAACCTTATTGCATCTGCTCTCAGACTCGCTCGGATCTTGAAGCAATATCATCCAACGAAATAAGAATTAAACTCGCGCCTCTTTTCCAAAAATATATTATACGTCATCCATACCAGATAACGAGAATTCCTTGAGGGGCATTCTGGTATGGGTATCTTGCGACATTCAAATCACACACCTAGAGTGGTAACAGATAAAATTCCTCTTTCTCAACGAATTCGAATCTGCATTCGTCAACATTCACCGGTACATCTCCATCGAAATCACCATCGACAAAACGACAATATGAACACGATCGATAATAACGACGTCGATGGTGCTGAGGCTGGTGGTGGTAGTGGCAGTGGCAGTGGCAGTGGCAGTGGCAGTGGCAGTGGCAGTGGCAGTGGCAGTGGCAGTGGCAGTGGCAGTGGCAGTGGCAGTGGCAGTGGCAGTCTCAGTAATAGTGGTAGCGGTGATGAACTCTCGTCTTCACTGGAGAGATCACAATCACAACCACAATCACAATCGCGAATTACCGAATTACCGAACAAACCCCCAAACTCCATCTTTGAGAGAAGACCAAGTACTTCGGACAAACCATCGCTATCCGTCTCAACCTCGTCTGCGAAACTATCTCCTTCCAAACGACAATCTTTCATGTCCCCCATGATTACAAGTCTCTCGGTCAAAACGGATTTTACATCGCAGAAACAAAAAAATGCGATTCCACATTTCCTCAACCACTCATCGAATGTGTTGATGAGCAAATTCATAGCTCTGAGAAACCATGAGCAAACGCTCAGAACGATACCAAATACATTAATACATCACCCTGTTGTAGTATCGCGCAATAGATATAGCGATGTCTATCCATGGGAACATCATCGAATTAATCTCCATTCGCTACAGTTTGGCTACATAAATGCATCGCCCATCGCACTTCGCACTGCGAATGGAAGTGGAGAGGAGCAGGAAAATTATATTGCGACGCAAGGACCAAGGGATAATGGACATGATGGGGGTTTGTTTTGGGAAATGTGTTGGCAGGAGAATGCAGAAGTGGTGGTTATGCTGACGAGACCGGTTGAAGAGGGAAAGGAAAAGTGTGGTGTTTATTACGCCGAGGATGTGGACGAGGTTAAGACGATTGGGTACTGGGAGGTTAGATGTGTGGGGAAAGAAGAAGAGGGGGGAACTGTTCGGAGGACATTGAAAGTCAAGAGGGTAAAGAGAGCGGCGAGTAGTGTGAGTGCAAAAAGCAGTGCGAGTGTTGAGAATGGAACGGTGGGGACAATTGAAGCAATAGCAGAGGATCACCCTGGGACAGAAAAAGAATCGGAAAACACAGCGGAGGAATTACAAGAGGAAGAAGCAGAAGCAGAAGCGGAAGCAGAAGTCGAAGCAGAAGTCGAAGAACGTACAATCCATCATTTCCTCTTCGAATCTTGGCCCGATAATGATATCCCTCAATCTCCCGCCGATATACATGCCCTCCTCTCCCTGCTCGACGTTTCGCGCGCAGCTAATAATCATTCAACCACGCCTCGCATAATTCACTGTTCGGCAGGTGTTGGTCGTACTGGTACATTTATCGCGCTCGATCACCTTCTGAGGGAACTGGAAATGGGTCATCTGGATGGGTTATCGAGAGATAAGGATCCGGTCTATGAAACCGTAAAGAGACTGAGGGATCAGAGAATGTTGATGGTACATAGGGTCGCACAATTTGTGATGATTTATAATGTTCTGAAGGAGAAGTGGTTGGAGAGAGAAAGAGAAAGAGAAAGAGAAAGGATTCCGAAGGAAAGGGATGGAGATACGGATGTTGAGGGGGAGGCTGAGACTCTTGGGACTGGCCCGGTGAAAAAGAGGAAATTTGGTGGGCTGGGCTGCACAAGTGAGGAGAGTAGAAATGGAGCTGGTGTCAAATCTCCCCAAGCGTGATAACATTTATCACCAAATCAAAATCTTTAATAACGGTCTGGGTTGCAAGAATCTAGTTTGGTGGGAGTGCATGCAAAAATCAACGCTACAGAAGATATACTAGAACGAAACGATAATCGGGTGCTATTACAGATGTACAGATATGTGTGACGAATTCGCATGGAAGAGTTGGGTTTGCTCGGGTACATGATAATTTATAGGCGTTGGAATTCGTACTGGCATCCATTGCCGTGGCATTGATATTATTAGGCCGGCTTGGTTGGGAGGTGATGAACAAAAAGTTTATGGATGGATGTTTATTGCTTGAACGGGATTGTTTGGATGGGATGGGATGGGATGGGATGGGATGATGGGGAGTTTTATGGGAAGGAGTACATAAGATGGATGAGATGAAATGCATGGGTCTGATATTGTGTTCGTCTTCTAGTCTCATCTTCATGGATGCACTTGCATTTATATCTTTTCTTCTTTGTGGATTCGTGGTTCTTGAGTTTGTCTTGTCTTGTCTCGGATGTGGGTTTCTATCTGTTCTGTCTGTTTGTTTGTCTGTCTGTCTGTCTGTTCTGCAAGCGAGATTTATTAGCGTGTTTTCTTTTGATGTGTGGATTTGTGGATGTGTGGATTTGTAAATGGGTAGGTAGTTGAATACTCTTCTTCTTCTTCTTCTTCTTTTTATAAGTACTCTTTTTATTACCCTTTCCATTACTGTACTTAATATCCGTACCTATTTAATGTAGCGAAGGCGAAGTAGAAGTAGGATGGATAGATGATAGGTTCAAAATGATTGAGATGGTTATAGTTAGTTGTAGAGTACTTACTTAGTTGTAGAGTACTTACTATATAATGGCTTGCTTGCTTGCCTACTTGGTTGATTAATTACAGATGAGATACTAGAATTAATTTCTGGATTTCTGAAGAGATTGATGATTTGTGTGTGGTGTAGTGTATTCTTTCTTTGATTTTTGAAGATTTGAGATGTAGGGGTTGTGTTTGTGAACGATGGTGTATGGTATTTGAATTTTGAAGATTTGAAGATGTGAAGATTGGAAGATTGGAAGATTTGAAGATTTGAAGATTTGAAGATTTGAAGATTTGAAGATTTGAAGATTTGAAGATTTGAAGATTGGAAGATTTGAAGATTTGAAGATTTGAAGATTTGAAGATTTGAAGATTTGAAGATTTGAAGATTTGAAGATTTGAAGATTTGAAGATTTGAAGATTTGAAGATTTGAAGATTTGAAGATTTGAAATGAAAGAGGAGTTGGTTGATGGGTTTGGTTGGTTGGGGATTGATTGATTGATTGATTGTATGTATGGATGGATGGATGTATGTATGAAAATCTTCAAGTCGAGAGACCTGAGATTCGAGAAAATAAAGTTGAAGTTTATATGAGATGTGATTGGAGAGGGGAGGAGAGGAGATGAAAGAGGCCCTTAATTATTCACACTTTTTGAGTTTCGGCTGAAATTGTTTTTGTTTTTTTATCGGTTTGTTTTTCTGGTATTTTTATGTGGAATTGGGATGGGATGGGATAGGACGGGATGGGATATTAATGTTCTGGAATATTATTTCTTCTAGGGTTTCAAATATGGGATTTTGGGGGTTGGGGTTTGGGGTTTGGGTAAACGGATTTCTTGACTGTGGGTTTGAGAAGAGTATAGATGATGTAAGATTTATAATGATAGGTCCTAATTGTCAATATCGTATTCTGTTAAGAGGGCTAGTTATGTGGAGGAAGAGGTAATCCTTAAATGTTCATATATTCATTCTGCAGCTCCCACGTTCAAGTCCCAGTCAAGAGTACCTCTACCAGCTTACTTTTACTGGCAACTAGGACACCAATGTCCTGAAATGTCACTTCCCCTAGGATCTCAAATACTGCGACCTCAGCGTCGAGTTTTTGGTTGAACCAATTTCTTAACTCAACGGCGATTAGCGAGTCGACCCCGTAGATATGCATAGGGCGTGAGGAATCCAAATTCTCCCGGGGAACAGCCAGCGCATGGCTCAATCTTTCCATCAATGCATTGGCAATAATGCTGGCTGCTTCTGCTTGTGAAGCTACGCCATGTAATTGACTGGCCACGTCAGTAACCATCCCTTCTTTCATGTCTGTTCTGCCTTTCTCATTGATATTCCATGTTCCCCTGAACTTCGGAAGTGTCATCATGGTGGGCACGTCAGCGCCCCGCGCCTTTATCGACGAAGGGGTGTCGATACCCACGAGAATCTGGGACTGGAGTGGAGTCGTCGGTATACTCAAGAACGCATCACAGTGATGTTCAAGTAAAGTAAACATCTCTTTTTGCTTTATACCAACTAGGTATCCAGTACCAAGTAACGCAGTTCTCACCGCTGTGTTATCCCTCAAGATGCCGTCGTCTATCATGACTCCCAGGTTAAAAGTGGTAGCTTTCTCGCCCATCTTATTGCGGTAGTGTACTAATGCATCTTGATAGGCGCAAGCGGCGCTGTAGTTTACAGATGCTGTCCCACCAATTGCACCAGAGATGGAAGAGTACACGATAAAATGATCCAAGCCTTTCGGGAGGAGAGTGTGCAGATTCCAGGTCCCGGAAACCTTGCAGTCGCTTGCTCCTCGCCAGTCTGAGTATGTCATGTTCTCGAATACACTACTCTGTACTTTTGTTAGCATGTTTGGATAACAGTTACAAAATCAAGACTTACTCGTAACACCATGGCGGATTGGATACATCCTTTTATAGGCGGCATTGTTTTATGTATATGATTGAGAACTAACTCGAGGGATGTGAAATCAGCGATATCGCATCGAGGGATTTCTACTCGTACCCCTTGAGCTTCTAATCTGGCAATGCATTGCGATGCTTCTTCTGACGTGGGACCAGATCGCGAAAGCAAGACTAGATTTTTGGCGCCGCGATCCGCCATCCATTGTGCAGTACTTCGTCCGATACCACCGAGTCCTCCGGCGATAATGTAGGTTGCGTTTTCTGGGAATGTCCACGGATGTGGTCTTTTGAGAGATGTCTACTTTTGTGAGATTAATCCATCTGTGTGGGAGTGGTTGAACTTACCTTGATCATATCATGTCCTTGGATTTGAATGATTGTCTTACCAGAGTTTTTCCCGCTCTGTAGATACCTGAAGGCTTTCTCAACCTCTCCGATTCCATAAATGTGGATAGGTTGTGGTGGTCGGATTTTATTCTCGAAAAGTAGGGTAGTGATACTTTTTTGAAGATCCATGAGCAGTCCTGGTCGATACTTCTGCGCCTCGTTCAAATCAATGGCGTGAAAAGAGGCATTTCGAGAGAATGGAAGCATGGGTAAATTCCCATTCGCTAAGATGTCTTTCTTGCCAATTTCGAGAAATCGTCCGAATGGTGCTATGCATTGCCATGTATCTACTAGAAGGTCACCGCTGAGTGAATTCAAGATAACATCGACACCGCCGTGATCAGCAGTCATTCTTTTGATGCCCTTGACGAACAGAGAATTGCGACTATAGAAAATATGATCTGCCGGTATCTGATACAGACTAATAAGCAAGTTCTTCTTAGACTCCGATCCCACAGTCACAAAAATCTCGGCGCCCAGGAGTTTCGCGACCTGGATAGCAGCTTGCCCTGTTCCGCCTGCTGCAGAATGTATCAAAACCGATTCATTTTTCTGCAATTGGGCTACGTGCACAAGGGCATAGTACGCCGTTGTAAATACCACCGGCATCGCGGCCGCTTCAGCAAAAGACATGTTCTCGGGGATGGGAATGACGTTACTTGTCTTGCAACGAGCATAGGTTTGATATGTTCCACTTGTGCTTGCGCACACCCTATCGCCTACCTGCAGTTTAATCGCGTGAGATCCAGTGCGGGAAATGCGACCAGAGCACTCAAATCCGAAACTCGTGCTGGGTATTCGTCCCAGTGCGATGAGACAGTCTCGGAAATTAACACCGCTGGCTTCGACTTTGATTTCGATCTCATCGGCTGCGAGATCGTTATTGAGAGTGTCGTCCTGGATGAACTCAAGGGTGTCGAGTAGTCCAGGTGTTTTGATACTGAGAGTTACTGGAGGAGCGCTAGAAAATTCACAGTCGCTGCGTAATGTTTCGTCTGTCGTCGCAGAAAACTTCTGATTCATGTAGTCTGCATCGACAACTCTATCGATACAAATCATACCATTGCGTTCTACATATTCCTGCTCGCAGTCCATAACACCTTTAGTGGAAATCTCGCTGTAGACCTCGAAAATCCTATTCGCGAGATGTGTGGCGTTTTTCGAGGAAGTCTCGAATGAGAGGGAGATAAATTTGAGTCTTATGTTTTCCATTCGTAGTGCGCGGAAAGCACCTTGAACAAGCGCATACTCTGGCATGTCGGGTCTGTCTCCTCCGCCTTTACAAGTCCATAGAATATTCTCAAAAGTCAAGAACATTGCTTTGAGATTCTCGAACTCGGGCTCGGTCATCTCGTGCAAGAAAGGTTTGTCGAGTTCCAGAAGTACGATAATGGAAGGCTGCTTTCCTTTGAAAATAGTGGCCTCATTGAGGGTGGCGGAAACAATATCCGTGGTTCCTGATAATCGCAATTGATCACGCAGCAACTCGTAAGTTTTGCTCTGGATATCGGACTTCGGATCGAGTATAACTATCGTTGGAGGGAACGGCGTAGTGTTTGAGAAATCTTCGCGAGATGTGGAGACTAGTGCGCTATGCTCATGGCATTCATCTTCATCGTAGTCTTTGAAGTTGAAGTCGATACCTGAGAACCCAGTACTCTTCAACACTTCATCCCACACGTCATCTGAAATCCCCGCACTAAAACTGCGATACTTGTCATTAAAGCGCCACCATCCAGGTAGCAGACCAAACGCGAAATTTGTTCGAACAACCTCTGGAACCGTCAGTTCGAAAAGTAGAAGCTTTCCTCCGGGTTTTAGCAGCGTCCTCACGTTTTTCATCGTAATCTCGAGGTCTTGAGTGGCGTGAAGAACATTGTCCGCAATGATGCAATCATAGCTCTCTTTTTCGAATCCTTGCTTGACTGCATCTTTCTCAATATCAAGTACTTTGAACGTCACCATGTCTGGAAAATTCTCGAATAAAGAAGTTGCGCCTTCGAAGAAACCGGCGGAAATATCCGTGTATGTGTAGTGAGCAAATCGAGGCGTACCAACACGAGGATCACGAGTACCGTTCTGTGCAAGAATATCGAGGAGGTAGTTTGTCATTCCTCCTGTACCTGCCCCGATCTCTAATATCTTCATATTTGGATGCTTGTGGACGAGAGTGTCGAGATAGGTGAGAGTTTTGTATAAGCCATTGGTGGATTTGTATAGTTCTCTATAATACTCTTTCACCAATGGCTCCTTGAACATGACTTCAAGAACATCAATCTTTCCCATGAGTATATCGTAGAGATTTGTTGCGAGTATCGCGTATAGTTTCCCTCGCGCATTGGTATGCTTCAGACGGTTTAAAAGTTTTTCATAGAACGCGTCGTCGTCGATATATTCTCTAACATTGACCGCGCCGTTGCGCATATCTGATCTGCAAAGCTTGGTTCTTTCGTATTGCATCCATTCGAAATATTTGATATGGTGTGGCTTCAGCCCCGCAACTTCAGAGTCGGTTAGCCGATTCAATGTTTTCAGAATGCAGAGATATAATAATAGCTTGACGTCATGATCCAGTTTAAGCGGAGCAGGCTGAATATCGTATGAAGTGGAAACATGTTGAATCAACTCTTTCTTGGAAAGGAGATCGATATCCGGTCTGTAATCAAAATTCCATGAGATATGCCGATTCTGTGCATCACATGGCCTGTCCGGCTGCGCTAAGAATTTTCCTTCGAGTCCATCGATGATTAATATAGGATTAGATTCTCCGTTATCAAATGCAACTGCATCCATTAGAGTGGTTGTAGAACCATTCATTGCAGACTTTGCGTACGCAGACATTATCGATGAACCGGGAATATTAATCTTCCCTTCTGCGATCCATAATCTGCGAAGCCCAACTATGACACTTGGATTTATCTTCATCCTTGCTCCCACCAAAGCTAACAGACCTAATTGAAACATTCCGTCGAGTGAGGTAGGATGGATAGTAAAATCTGTTTGTTGGAGATCTCTTTTTTTGGGTATCCAACTATCCAGCGCAATCTCAGCAGTACACTCTCTTTCCTGACCGTATGCACCACTTCTAATAGTTTGATGAGCGGATCCAAAATTAATTCCGTTTTCTTTCAGTACCGGGTAGAAGTTTTCCATATACACTTCCTGGCAGCTGGAGGCGCAGATACGCGAGAGCTCCGTTCGATGATATTCATCATCTAAAGATTGCTCCATCCCATTATCGACCTCATTTTCAAGCTCTCCATGAGTCGCCTGAACTTGGCCTCGACACACTTCAACCCAATCATTATTCTCAGGAGTATAAATGCGGAAATCTGACCATGTTATTTCCCTGTCAGAAGTAAGTCCGCATGGGCGGAGGTAAAATTCCATTTCGACTCCATCTTGATCAGAAGTAATAGTGAGCGCCCGTGACACGAGGACGTTTTGAATGATGAACCCCGAAATGACTTTGTTAGATCTTGACTTAGCCATTATCTTCGCTGCCTCTATTGCCATGACAAGCATAGCAGATGCAGGAAGAATGCATGCGTTAGAGATGTTGTGATCCTCAATCCACGGATCTTCCGAAAGTCTAATTCGGCGTCTCCATTTAGCTTCCTGTGGGTTCCAATCTGGTACTGGAGTGCCAAGAAAGTCGTTACGAGGAATTTTGCGGAATCTGTGACCTTTGCTGAGCCGAGATTCACGCCAATATGATCTTGAGTGATCAAAAGGATACTCTGGCAAGTCTGTCAGCGGGGTTAAGGAACAAGTCACTGAGGAATTCTGGTCGTTTAAAGCTTGAATGTTTATGTGATGACCCCGACAATGAAGATTTCCAATCGCTTCAAACATCGAAGTCGTTGCATTGACATTGCGTATCAGAACGGAATAATACCCTATAGCTGAATTCTTGCTCGATTGCTTGAAGATATCTCTCAAAGGTCCTTGTAAGGCTGAATGGGGTCCAATTTCTAGCACATCATCGAAACAATCTTTTGAATTATTGTGCAGAATGGTTCCGTCATTTGATATACTTAGTGAGCTAGCACAAGTAACCGCGTCGAGAAACCTCACTGGGGATACCATATTTTTAACCCAGTAGCTTGGTTGACGGAGCTCATCACTTCTGACTAATTTTCCCGTAACTGAAGAGACCATAGTGGTAGGTATTGCGGATACCCGGGCAGACAAGCTACCCAATTGTTCCGAGTATGTTGCGGCTACAGCACTCATGTAATGGGAATGATATGCGACACCAACTAGTAGTTTCCGGGTGAAGATGTTATCTTTTTCCAGAATTTCGTGGAGATAGTTTATGTGTTCCATATCACCTGTGATTGTGACGTTATTAGGGCTGTTGATGCATCCTATTGAAATTCCAGAGTAACCAAATTTGACTTCGATTTTGGCGAGATACAACAGGACTTCATCTGCAGATAAACCAACGGAAAGCATTCTGCCTTGGATACTGTTATTTTCAGCTATTTTAGATGAGAGCAACCCTCTATGATAAGCAACCGTCATAGCAGAACGCTTATCCAAAGCTCCAATACAATATCTAGAGTTTCTGTAAGCATGTGGTAATATCTTTGGAAGAGAAAATGATTACGCTGCTGCTATTTCGCCAGATGAATGGCCAAATACCACGGAAGGCCGAAGTTCAATACTCTCTAAAAGATCAACCAAAGCTATTTGTATTGCAGTACAAATTGGTTGGCTGAATTCTGGTCTATTCACTCTAGAAGTTTTTTTGTCCCGTGAAAGTTCGGCTGAAAGGGGGTAAGCTAGCGTTTGCGAGAGAAGCAATGGGAAAACATACCTTGTAGTGACCATAAACATCCCATTTCCTTGAGAAGCTCAGATGTTTCTATAAGACTTTTTCTGAAAACATTAGCCTGAATTTCCCGAGCCATCGCATACCATTGAGCGCCTTGTCCTGTAAAACAGAATGCAAGACGTGGCTGAGAAATGGCACGGATGGCAGGTGAAAACTTGATCCCAGCTGTCAAATCGTTTTCAGAATTGATTGTTGCAAATGATCTCCATAATAGAGAGCTTCTTCGGTCACTCAATGTGTAACTCAGTCTGTTCATGTATGAAATACTAAAATCCTCTATGCTCATTCGGGACCAGTGTCCGTTATATGCCAATTCGAGTCGTTTGATGCCGCTCTCGTCTTGAGATGAGAACACTAACATTCTCCTAACCTCATAATGATGGAAGCCATTAGACATAGAAGGTTGATCATGTGCTGAATCCGTGTTTCCGTTTATCTGTTTGTGGATCGAAACCTCGTCTCGAAGTTTGAGATGACCGATCGCATCCTCCATTATCACGTGGGCATTTGTTCCTCCAAATCCGAAGGAGTTGATTGACAAGCGACATAAGCCTTCCGAGGGCCATGGCATGAGCTCTTTTGGAAACTACACATGATAAAGTAAGTCTGAATTCTACCTTAAACAGTATCGACCAAGGAAGCTACCTTTAAATGTGGATGCTCTGCTGTGATAGCATGGTTGACATTTTCAAGCCCTGCAATTCCTGGAATCATTCTGTGTTCAAGCATTATAATACTCTTAATGAGACCTGCTATACCACTGGTACCCTCCAGGTGACCAATGTTTGATTTGATAGTTCCTATATACAAAGGAGAGTCAACGGAGCGAGCGTGGCTGAACGCGTCAGCAATTGCTCCTGCCTCTATAGGATCTATCCTATCGCATTAGTATTATTCGTTTCATGGCAGTTTCTTCGACTTACCCCCGACAGGTGTTCCTGTACCATGCGCCTCGACATATCGTGTCTGGCTCATGTCCAAACCAGCTTTTTCATATACATCTCGAATGAGTTGCTCCTGGCTACTTCTACTTGGTTGAACAATACCTGGCGTTCTTCCATCTTGGTTCGTTCCGGTGGCTCGGATAACAGCTCGTATGGTATCATTGTTCTCAAGTGCATCGCTTAATCGCTTCACTATCAACACCCCAAATCCTTCACCACGACCATACCCATTCGCTTTCTCATCAAAGCTCCAGCATCTTCCATCTGGTGATAGAAAATTCTGATTGTTTAATGACATAGCCATATCTGGACTCAAAAACAAGTTTGAACCAGCTACAATGGCCTAACATCTTTATTAGACCACTACAGATTAATTCAATTCTTATCGACATACCATTTCAGATTCATTATTCTGTAGCCTCTGGCATGCAGTATGAAATGCGACAAGGGTACTAGAGCAAGCTGTGTCCATGTTGATGGACTCACCACGTAAGTCAAAGTACCAGCTAATACGGTTTGCCAACATATTAGCCGACACAGAACTTGCTGAATACTGGCCACCAAACTGAGGGTCTTTGGTGGAGAAAGATTTGTAGTCATCTCCAAAGCTTCCCGTGTATACAGATGTGTTTGAATTGGCTACTTTCTTCATTGGTATTCCCGCTATAAGAATGATTAGCATGAATTGGATATAGGGCCTATAGAAATATACCATTCTCTAGAGCTCGGTATGTTACCTCAAGTAATATACGAGATTGAGGATCAATTTCCGCCGCTTCATTAGGTCCAATTGTGAAAAACGGAGCATCGAATACGCTTAAATCACCGTCCACAAAATGTGCACCTTTCAGAGGAAACTATAGGTTCTCAGTGACTGTTATCATATGCAAGGGTGAAGAGCTTATTTACACTATTCAATCTTCCAGAATCTGAATCGTAAACGCCGTCAAAGTTTAAGCGGCTCTCGGGAAATGGTGACCAGGCTGATCGACTAGTAGCTAATCCCTCCCAGAGGGATTCAGCAGTTTCCATACCTTGAGGAAACTTAAATGATAAGCCAATAATGGCTAATGGCTCGATTCTGGGGGAAGACTCAGCCATGTTTGAAACAGCGCTTTCTGAACTGTGGATTCGCTTGTACTTGTGAATTCGAGTACCCAGGTTAAGCTTTTGAGCGACCAAACTAGAAGCGTGTACCTAGATGGGGAATATCAATCGGCTAAGCAGGGAAAGAGGAAAGTGGTCAAGGGAAAGCTGAAGCCAGGCTCAGGCGCTGAGAAAAGAGAAAAGAAAGGGAAGGCAGTGCTGGCGAACAACGTGTTACTAATGATACGGTATTATAGTTTTAAGATACGGAGTGAAGTAATGAGAGGGAAGAGTTGATGATAGGTTACTGAGAGCTGTATCTGATCAATCTTAACTGAGGAAGTAGAACAATGGAAGTTTTGCAGAAGTATTGGAAGGTGCATAATTGGAACGGCAGTCCTGTTTACCAATATATTCTTTTTGCGTCCCCCCGGTCATTATAATACCGGCGTAGTAGGCATAAATGAACTGCTGTGAAATAGCTTGAAGTACATAGATGTAAGATGAGCATAAATAATATAATTCATAATAGTATAATGGTGACCCTCAAACCATAACATTCTTGCACCTGTTTAATACAACTCTTTTTAGCTTCCATTACCCTAACTTACAAAATACCAAAGGGCATCATCACAATACATTGACTCAAATTTAGACTAAAATTGAGCTAATCTTGGATCTCCACATCGCGAAGAATTTCACACCAGATTCATTCAGACTTTGATTTCTTCACAAAGTACACTTCGAGCCTTAGAATTGCGACCGTGTACTTGCAGAAACATCATCTAAATATACTAAATTTGGACGCTGACTAGAGTCTGTTTTGAATTCATCTATTCCCCTTAAGTAAATCCCCTTAAAAAGTGGAATTCGTCAGTGATGAAGCATGGCGTATCCGTCCAACCTCCTCAAATTAATCAATTAATACATATGGCTTCTAGAACGTCATTAAATTCATGCTGCCAATATATCCGAGAACAGAAATATACATACCATGCTCAGCTGCAAAGAGCTGATCCTAATTCAAGTTCTCCTAAGAGACTTTTTTACCAGGAGCAATAGTCATGATTTCTGGTGATTATTGGACATCCCTCAACAAACGTCTGCTGACTTGCCAACCTGCGATTGGCTTTGTATGCGGCTCGGTCAGAATGTAGGATTGATGACACGCTGACTGCATACCATCATATGTGAACTTTTAAAGAAACTATGAACACAATAAAAGCCATCAATGATCCTTGCTAGCTGCTTCTATCCTATCGCCCTGGGTGAAGAAACCTTGCCGGTACTTTTGTGAGAGATATGCCTACTTGAGCTAAAGTGTCTGAACCCTCAATAACACTCAAAATATCATGACCACCATATAATGACTTCTTGATCAATCCTAGCTCCCATTCCGACGCTTTGGGTCAACGGACCGCTATTTTAGTAATATTCCGAAGGGAATCAGTTTCACCGCAGTTAAGTGGTATGACCTTCGGACTTCCGAGCTTATACATCACAATTTGCCTTCCAATCAAACCCCTAAAATGTTATCCATAAAAGAAACTCTGCATTGGTTGGCTGGCTTTGTAAAGAAAAATTCAAAGACAACCATCTGATAACATTAGATTTATTCTTGTCCTTGGCAACAGGGTTCATTTTCTCCGAAGCTTTATGTCGTTGCCGGTGCAAGCCAAGTGGATAAGACGTCCCGTTTCTCACCGGCATTGCGATCCTTGCAGGGGCTCCCCATGGTAGTGAATCCTTCGCTGAAAGGGATTGCAAAATTGATACAGATGCACCTACACCTGCAACTGCAAACTGCAATATATATTTTGTTTCAATATCCCAGAGGCACAGTATGGCACAATGCAGTGGATGCCATTAGATCTTGGGATCGCCGTGAAAATCAAATGATCAAATGAACAAATCGGAAATTAAACTCACTTGAGTGGTTGTGGAATAGCAACGACCAGTCAGGCTGCTTCGCAATGCCAAGACACAGGTCAAAATATATCGCAGTCACTGATTCACTGGGGTGATTTCAGGATTTACCTAGGTAGGTAACTAGATGTGTTACCTACACTTAAGTGTGGCTTGGCTTCTTGATTCGACAGAAAAATCAATGTTTCGCTTTGTTTTCAATGCAGATATGTAGTACAACCATCAACGTGTAACGGCACATGCAATACCAATGTCAAGACAAACCAAGGCTGCAGGAAAAAAGCCATCACTCTAGCGATAATCTGCCAGATTTTGGGGAGATCGATTGAAAATAAATTTCACCCGTAACACTTTCTTCTGTGTCTTGAGAATCATGACCAGCCTTGAGGTTATCACGACGGAGCAGACCTCGGGCACAATGCCCTCCTCCGTTTCTCCTGAAAAAGTGGTGCCAGAAGATTCGGGGACCATCAGCGATCAGAGTGCTAGCGACGGCACAAGGTACCTTTCCGGATGGCGATTAAGTCTGCTCACACTTGGGTATGCTTGAACGTTCGATAAGGGTAAGACTTTACTGACTTGTTTGCAGTCTATGTCTGAGTCTTATGCTCTCTTCGCTGGATATCACTATCGTCAGCACTGCTCTTGTTACTATCTCTGATGACCTTCAGGCATTCGACCAGAGCAGTTGGATAGTGAATAGTTACTTGACGACATACTTTAGTAAGTAAGTCCTGTTACAAGCCTGCACGCTTTCTAATATTCTAGGTGCTCTGATCATTTGGGCTAAGATGAGTGATCTCGTTGGTCGTAAAATTATGCTTGTTGTCGCCCTCGTGATCTTTTTGGCGTTTTCGGGTGGGTGTGGAGGGGCATCAAATAGTACCCAACTGTAAGGAACCCATAACTTCAGTAATGTATAAGCCTAACCAAAAGATAAAGTATTACTTTCAGAGCCCTACAGGGAGTTGGGGGTGCTGGAATATTTAGTATGGTACCTATAATCGTAGCGGAGATGGTCGTGCCGGAGCAGTACGGCAAATTTAACGGCATTGTTTCTCTAGCTCTGGCTATTAGTTTTCTACTGGGTCCACTTCTGGGAGGTGCAATTCCTCAGCATACAACCTGGAGATGGATCTTCTGGATTAACTTGCCTATCGGTATGGTAGGATTAGTCTTGATCATGTTGGCAATGCCTGCAGGCTTTCCCGACAACAGACCATCTAAAGCCATGCTACTGCCACCAAAATTGAGCGACGTGCGGGGAAAATTCGACTATGTGGGTTTCTTGTTACTCCCAACCGCTTGTATTTTTCTTATTGTAGCCTTCGAGGAGGCGGGGGTAGCCTTTGCTTGGAACTCGGCCTTGGTGATCACTTTCTTGGTGCTTGCTTTTGTTCTTCTTTCTCTGTTCTTTGCATGGCAGAGATTGCTATTTTTGAAACAATCTACAAGACAACCCGTCATACCATGGGTATTCCTGAAAAATAGGGTTCTTATGGGTATATACATGTAAGGTCTACTCAATGCGACTGGAATTTTCAACTCTTGACTGACACGAAGTTAGTTACGCGCTCTTTTCAGGAGTCCCTTTCGTGACTTTGGTGATTGAGATTCCACAGAGAGTCCAGAACATCAGCAATACCTCGACTTTGATTGCGGGCGTGCGCGTATTGCCATACACAATGTCTGTTGCTGTCGGTTCAGCAATCACTGGGGGGTTAACGGCGAAAGGTCGGATACCCCCGATTTATGTGCTGATCACAGCTACCATTCTGCAAATCCTTGGAACTGGGCTCTTATACTCAATACCAGTAACAGCTCATATGCCGGCTAGTTTCTACGGGTATGAAGTGCTGGCAGGAATGGGTGTTGGCCTTGGATTGACCACGCTATTAAGCATCACACCCTTCATCGTTGAAAAGCGACTTTTAGGTACCTATAGATTTTCATAATTCAAAATTTCTTTTGTTTTCGGGAACTAACAATGACGTAGCTGTTGCGCTCGGCGGTGTCACACAGATGCGAATTCTTGGAGGAGCGATTGGCGTTGCAATTGCTACTAGTCTACTGAGTAGCAATGTCATATCAGCCCTGGCTGATATCCTACCTGCTGAAACTGTCAATCACCTTCTTCAAAATATCTCTTCGGTGGCTTTACTGTCTCCGGGTGATCAAATCGCGGTTCGAACCGCGTTCGCTCAGGGATATAAGAAACAATTGGCCATGATACTAGGTTTTTGTGCTGCTGAGCTCTTGGCTATAGGGCTTATGTGGGAGAGAAAACCTCGCAGACTCGCATAAGATATCAATGTAACGAATATAATGGTAAGGCTAGCGAATGTTGGAATGTCGGAACAATGTTGTGTTGTCTCTTCCAAGGATTTTAGCGGAGATGTGAATGTGGGGCTCAGAAGTCGCGACGGAAAAGATAAGCTTAAAATAAACCTTTTCTTAACCACCATGAACCTCTTGAACAAGTACTTTGAATGGTCAATTCATTATGTGGTAAATTCTAGTCGAGTTGCAAATCTTGAAGGCTTCACTTGGAATTTACACGTAAAGATGGAGCATAGGTGAGAAAACCTATTCACATAGTCTAGCCTGTGTAAAAGCCTCTCCTGCTCTTCCCTACTCTAACTACCTAAGTGCATAAATTTCGAGCTAGAGTCTCAGCTTACGAGAACCATTGCCTGGCTTCCTGCATCGCTTTGATAGTGCTGTCTATTGTTGTGAGTACCGTCTTTCGTAACACCAACTTTCTATCCACTAAAACCTCGAAGCTTCGATCTGACCACACGCCGTAGCAGACGGCAATAACTATTGACATTACCATGGTCATATTTATCATTTGCTGGCGTGTTCGTCGATGCTGGCCTTGTGCGGAAAGCTTTCGGATCCAATCGTTGAATTTGGGAGACCTGCAGCGGAGGTAAAAGTCAAGTTGAGATCGGCTGTGAAAAAAAAGTCAGCATGCAGTTGAGCCAATGATCGTCAACCCAGCTTTACAAAGACTTCAGTCTCAGGTAGAAGGGCCATGCTTACGGATATATGACGGTGTTCCAAGCTCCGGAATCATTATACCAGCTTTGACAGGAATCAAAAACGGTTTCTTGCATATCTCTTCTGATATCTTGTACCCACTTTTCTACTGCCTCGGGCTTTGGTTCCAGACAACTAACATGCCCTTGGAGAATGGGTGCGATCATTTTGAGAATGTATTGAACATTATTTTCGATGCTCATGATGACTGAGGTATGACCAACGAAGGTGTTTGGGCCCATGATCATGAAGAAATTTGGAAACTGGTCAATTCCTGTTCCCATATACGCTTGGGGGCCTCCTCGCTCCTTCCAAACGTGCTGAAGGGAGATACCCTGGCGTCCCATGACGGAGAGAGGGTGTAGAAATTGTGATACCTTGAATCCCGTTGCTAAGACAAGAATATCGGCGGGATACCGGCTCGGCAGTGCAGCGAGGTTGAAGTTTGATTCAGAACTCCCGACAGTCACTTCATTGCATCCCATACCTATCCAAGGCTGTGTCGTTAGGGTATAGCGAGGATCGCTCATACTCTGGAGCCAGTCATTGTCGAAGACGCGGCGCTTACAGCCAAGACTATACCGCGGCGTTAATATGGAATGATATTTTTGAGGTGCCAGCTTTCTCATATGGTCCAAGGATGACTTTTCGGAGATTTTCCGAAGCTTCAAGGTTTTTCGCTTGAACGTAGCGTACCATAGCAACTCAGACATGCAGCAAACAATGAAGCGAACGAGGAAGCCCAAAATCGGTACGGAGCCATAAATCATAGGTGCAAACTTTGCGTAAGCCTCTTTACCTCCTGGCTCTTTAATGCGAGGAACAAACCACGGTGGATCTCGTATAATGTGTGTCAATGACTTGACCTTGGTTTGAAGAATTGCCGGTGCAATCTGGGCGGCGGTGCAGCCTGAGCCCACGAGCACGACGTCTTTTCCCTCAAGATTGACATTTCTCGGCCATCGAGCAGAGTGCAAAATCTCACCGCTGAACATGTTCCTTCCTGAGACAGTTTCTGGCCAATCGTTAGGATTGGTAAGAATGCCGGCACCACTGATAACCACTTTGGCTCGGATTATCTCAAGTCGACTATGAGTTATGAGTTTTCCCTCTCGATAAACACGACAGATCTCGATTTCCCATTCTTCTTCCTCCTCTTTCCATTTCAAGCTCTTGACCTCCGTGTTCAAATTGATCTTGTCTGCTATCTCAAAGCGTTCCACTACCTTATTGAGATACATCACATAGTCACAACCTGAAGGAAACACGGTCGGTGAAGTGTAATTCGGGGCGAAGGAAAATGAGTAAAACAAGGTTGGTCTAAATAAGCCCAGTGAGAAAGCGTTACAACACTAATGATTGGAAAAGCTACACATCACAAGCCTAGACGAATGTATTAGCTAAAAAATGGTACAGAAGTGGAATTTTGAGACGCTCACGATTCCGGGATATCTATTCGTCCACCATGTGCCTAATGATCATTCTCATCAGCTTTACTCTGCTTTGATCTGTTCGAAATAAGAGTAGAGATTTGAATTTTACCTCCAAGCCCCTCTTGGCGATCAAATATTTTGAACTGGTCAAAACGAAGCTTGCTTTTTAATTGACAGCCCATGGCTATGCCTGAAGGTCCAGCCCCAATAATGACGATGGGATAGTAAACATGGGAATTCTCTCCATAAGCATCACGTGTAGAAATCCGTGCTGATGACTTCATGCTTGCAGTTGGTGATGGCTGGAATTGACAATAAGGAAGGTGAAATCTCTGTTTGAAAGTTACTGTAAGTACCAAAAAAAGATCAGGCTTATCTATTCTGTCTTCAGCCGTTGGGGATTGCAACAACAGAATGGCAAGTTATAGTTCTTCATTCAACGATCATCTTCTTTCTGGGAAGCGGTCGTACCATCAGTGCCATGATAGGCAGATCCTCGCTGCAAACGCCGGTCACGACCACTGGCTGTAAGTTTACCCAATTTCCCCACTAGAGCTAGAAACTGGCTAATTCTCACCAGATGATTACTGAGACTTGCATCATTAAACTCTCTTTTTGGACATATGCAGACCGAGAGAAGCTCCGTGTTAATGTATAGTGGCATCTTTTGAGGAGATTACAGCATGCAGAGCTATAGATATTCCTTAGCTGAACATGGTGCACAGCCCGGATTCACTCGTTCATCAATAATAATCAACACTACTTGGAATCCTTGAAACAGAAATGTTCGAATTGAATAGTTGCTTTCGATTTCTGTCAGAGCTAGGCCTTGCATTAAATTCGATATCGATATTGCAGCCACACTTTCTACCTAATAAGACCGGGGCCGTTATTTGTAGAGACACCCTGGGGGAAACCACGGGCTCCGAAGGCTGTGACTTTTTGCATTGCCGAAGAAAATACAACATGTAATGCGGCACAGATAGCGGGGTAGCTTCCTACGTGTTGGTGGCGTACAAGGGTGCCAGATATGATACGAGGTGGATGAGGTTTCACAAAGTGACTTAGCAGGCTTAACAAGGTGTGTAATTAGTAGTTGCAGTCGTATTGGTTGTTTTGGTCTTGGCAAAGCTTAGAGTTATCATATCCTACTACACTGTTTAGATAGAACTTCTGGCTTTTTATCTAAGTATCGCAAAACCACAGCATCTTCTCAGTTTTTCAGATCAGAAATTATGGAGATACAAACCTTACTTCTAGCCTTATTCATTACTTACGGAGCTGGGCTACTGACTTATCGATTTCTATTCCACCCTCTTGCACATATTCCCGGACATCCACTTGCGATATCGACTTACCTCTACGAATGGTACTACGATTTGTACCTCAGTGGTCAATATACCTTCCAACTTAAAAGGTTGCACAAGCAGTATGGTATGGTGTTTGAGTCTTTTGCCGTAACTTCAGCATCACTGATATTTCCCTCTAGGTCCCGTCATTAGAATCAACCCGAATGAGGTTCATATCGATGATCCTGATTTCTTCGAAGAGGTGTTTAATCAGTCAAATGGCCGAACGCAAAAACCTATAAATGTTGCCGAAGCATTCGGTCCATATCCAGCGGTAGATCTCAGTCTCTATCATTTGAAATCATGTTGCTAATTTTGCAAAGACTATAGGAACACAGGATCATGAGCACCATCGCATAAGAAGAAATGCTCTCAACCCATTCTTCTCCAAAAAATCAATCAACGACCTCGTTTCAAGAATCCAACGTCCTATCCTCATTCTTTGCGATCGACTTGAGGAGGCAAGTAAATCTGGGGTAACTCTCAATATGAAGTATTTCTATGCGGCAGTGACACTGGATATCATCAATGACTACTGTTTCTCGAGGCAGCCAGATAACATTTTGAGGGAAGACTTTGGACGTAAGTCTTTTGACGACGTAGACAACTTCTTGGTTATTAGTCTTTTGGTACGTAAAGTATCAATCAATTGGAATGAATGCTAACTTTCAAGAACATTCATATCCCATACTTGATGAGATTTAGCTATTCTCTTCCGGTATTTCCTTCCAGTCCTTTTTGGCCTTTGCTTTCCGACGATGCTGAAATCTTTAGGACAACATGAACAAAATCTTGGCTCCTGCCATGGCAGACATCCTTGATTACCGCAAGGTAAATCTTCAATAACCAATCCTGACTCAATCAATCCTTAACCAAGTATAGGATCTTTCTAGACAAGTAGAGTCCATTCGACATGAGCACGAAGAGCCCGAATCAAGTAAACTTGCTGATAGGACTGTCTTTCATGAACTATTAGAGAGCAAATTGCCACCCCAAGAAATGGAGCGAGACAGATTGCGTGATGAAGCTTTCAGTTTAGTCACAGCAGGCTCTGGTACAACGTGAGTAGTCTCTGCAGAAAACTTTGCGAATGATAGCTTACTATGTATGTATCCAGAGCATATGTCCTCAGAGGAACCTCATATCACATCTCGGCCAACCCTGCGATTACTCAGCGGCTTCACGAAGAGCTGAAATCTGCCATTCCAGACCCTTCGAAATCTCTTTCACTGTCAGAATTGGAAAAACTGCCGTATTTGACAGCTGTCATCCAAGAAGGGCTCCGTCTTGCCGATCCAGTTACCCACCGTATTGGCCGACAATTCCCAGATAAAGCCTTCATCTGTCATGGTAAAACGATTCCAGCCGGAACAATAGTTAACATGACAGCTTTACTCACGCATCAAAATGATAAAATCTTCCCGGAACCTATGGTTTTCAAGCCAGAGAGATGGTTGGGGAATCAGAACAAAAAGCTCGAGCGGTACCTTGTCCCCTTCAATCGCGGAACTAGATCCTGCTTAGGTATCAATCTCGCTCGCGCCGAGCTCTATTTGATTTTAGCTTCTGTGTATCGACGGTTTGATTTTGATGTCTCACAAGTTAATAGAGCTCGTGATATAGATGCTAGCCGAGATTACATTCTAGGCGCCCAGGCGAGAGACACCCCCGGTATATTGGTTAAAGTGAGAGAGAGAGATTGAGTCTATTAGTAAAATACCGCACATTACTTAATCTGGAAAATAATCACAATAGTCATACGCCGTACAATGATTTTGTGAGAGCTCACACTAAAACACTACTAGCTCGCTCGCGGTGATTCTAATTGAAGCATATCTTTCTTCAAGCAATTGCTGACTTACTAGCGAAGTAGCCATCTATTAGGCCCCCACACTGAGAATATTCTTGATGAAGATAAATAAATAAATAGTCCGCGATTGGAAAAGGGCATGTCTCGCCGTCGACTGGAGGATTCCTGCAATTGCAAAAGTTCAGCAAATAGGGATGTCCGCTCCAGTAGGACGAAAAGCTCGGCACGTCAAAAGATCACACCATTTTTTTTAAATTCTCTTCTAAATCAGACTTTCAAGATTTTTGGCTATCAATTGGATCAAGATATGAAGAAGAAAGATACTTATAATCTATAATTAGTTTATCTTTTTTGAAGATCCGTATCACTTTCTGACATTATTGCCTAATACGTTCGGAGTGATAGTGTTTCTAGCAGGGTTTAGATTTTGGCGAACTTTGGTGCGCCCGGTTATTTCGTTCTGGATGGATGTCCAGTTGATAATGCGGAATGCTTGCAAATATGCATTGCATGTAAGACTCAACATATGCCGAATCGACTCAACAAATGGGAATGGCCGGTCAAGCTAGTAGATTCGTAATCCCGCCTTTAATCCTGGGGAAACAAGGATTAGGGTGCATTACTCAAAGACAAATCAAAGTAGACCCACCCCCCTTTTCTATTATTGTTGGGGTTCTACGGCAGTACTCGATAGAAACTTGGCATTCGACTTTCTCCTCATTGGTAGGCCAATTTAAAAACTGAAGCCTTCGCGGCGCAGACACATTCCAAATTAAATTGCTAATTTGTGGCTTGCTTGAAGGAAAAAGAGGGAAAGGGGGGTGGGAGATTTCAATAAGTGGGAAAGGAGTGACAATTAAGAACTAGCTAATTGTGGATTCCATATAGCATTCCTTCCAGCATGGATCTCTGGGATATCTTCTACCGTTGACTGTTCACTAACATAATCACATCTCAGAAACAATGCGTTTGCATCAGAACATATCATATTTCAATTCGACTACAAGATGGATATCAATTAAAAGTTCTGTTTGTTGAATATTTTTCTTTGTCGGGATCCCTAGCATTTCAGACAAGGTGCGTCCCCATTGTTTGTAATTATTGTAGGAAAGCTTCACAATAATTTACTTTACAAGAAAGATCTTTTGAAGAAATGCAACCATGACTGCAGCCATAGCATGAGGCCTTGTTGAAAGCCCTCGTCTGAAAAGTATGAGGATCTCTGACCCCTCCTTAGACATTACGATTGACTGCAGCTGTAGTTCGAAGGTGTAACGGTCCTATTAATATCCTCAAACTCTATTCGCACACCTGTAGGTACCACAACAACACTCTAGTTGAGAGTTAGGCACAACCAGAACCCTCTTCTGATACTCGACATTGCCTCTCGTGTTTCTTTGACTTCAAATGCCATCCTCCATTTTCTTAATACATATAACGTAAGTGTCTCTGCGCTTGCTCTAATTCTACTGCACTACCTTACTGGAGCCCTTTGTCAGACTTTCTCTTTGACGATCTCAACTCTGCCTTCTATCTTATCAATAAAACATGACTACCCCCGCTTCCTCCGCTCCATATAAGCTGGGACTGAATCATGTGGGATACACGACTCTGGTTATCTGCATATTCTTTATGGCATTATCTACCTTAGCCGCTGCGCTCCGCGTCTGGACTAGGGTAGTAAAGAGAGCCAAGTTTGGTATTGACGACTGGCTTCTCATCGCCAGTGTCATTTTGTTCTTTCCATTCTGTGCCAATATACTGGTCGGTGTCTATACGATTGGCAGTGGACAGACATATACCGACCCCCTCGTGCTCGCCTCTAAGTCGCAACAGTATTTCAAGAGCGAGTATGCTATTCCTCCACTTTATGCTATCAATGTCACTACCATCAAACTTTCGATCCTATTCTTCTATCGTCGCATTTTTACTACCGATAGCTTCTTGAGAAACAATTACATTGTCATGGCGATATGCATAGTTTGGTTTGTCGTTACCATTATCGGTGACCTACTCTACTGCATACCCATGGCTACATTTTGGAATCCAGAAGTCAAAGGGAAATGTTTCAATTTTCCACTATACTTCTTAATTATGGAGCTTGTCGATATGTTGTTAGATATCGCCATTCTTTGTCTTCCATTGAAAATCATTCTTAGCCTACATATGCCATTGTCAAAAAGACTTGGGATACTCTGCATCTTCCTTTTGGGAGCACTGTAAGCACCCCTGTTCGGTAATCATAGATCATAAGCAAATAATATTCATGAATATAGGGTCGTTGTTACCAGCGCCATACGAATCGGATATGTTTACAAGCCAAGTGCCTCACTACGTAAGTCTCTGTCTTTTCTTGATCAGAACTTAAGCTGAGAGAATACAGTATCGCTAGCGCAAGCATCTTTATGGTCGGTCATTAATCTAGGAATAGCGATCCTCTGCGCTTGTTTACCGACATACAAACCTCTTTTTGGCAAGTTTCACACTATAGGCACTTCGCTTTGGACCAACCATTTTTCTGCGAATTCCGACAAAAGTACGACTAAGACCGCCTCCGATTTGCACACAAATCCCGCCGCTTACTATTACAGAATGGGGGATAGCAATGGCGATAACATTCATATGACGGGAGTTTCTACACAGATACAGAGCGGCAATAAGGCACCGAGCTTGCCTTCGGATGGTGTACGAGTCCAGCGGGATGTTCATGTATCATAGTTTCAATGCTGTTGTTGGTGGAACAAAATTAGACGTCAAAAATTAACTGTCGGTTGTGTAGTGGGGCTTGGTTTTGCCGTTCCATTAATGTAATTTTCCAATATTTACTGCCAAAGATGCTTGGGCAGTTGGGTGACAGTGTTTTCAGAATATATATGGGGTACTGTCTGGCTACAGTTTTGCCTTTGCATTCATCAACAGGAGATTTGCTTTCATCCCATACTATCGGGGACAAGATAGAGTTGAAAGATGTCGATCTTCTATCAAGAGCTTTTGTATTTTGCTACATTCTAATCATTATATGCGTACCTGTGAACTTCAATTTCAGTGGTAAGAAGTGTTTGAAGCAATTGCTGACTCCATGTAAAAGTCTGTCCATGCATGCTACAATATAAATCTTCATTAGTATCAACAGCCTCGCTTATTGAAATAGCTTTTGTTTGTTGGACTGCAGATACTAGGTACCTACATACACCTCGGTATATGTTGAGACTGAGCCACTCACCCACATGTTTCGTTTTCCTGTGGCGTGTTCTATGGGTATACATTTACTGAGTTCCACCATTTGGTCTGTTCAAAGAATCTCTTTTTAAATTTTACTTCAAATTTCGATCCATCAGTTATTAAGCGGGAATTTCGAGGCTTTCACATACCCAGACAGTTCACGGGTAACCATATACGCTCCGCGACTGTGACTGCGACTGCGAATTCACTTCATTTCCTGGTTAGTATTCACCTAGAAGTTTCTGCTTCTTCCAACCCTGGCACAATCTCCTAGCGTTTGATTATCACAACCATTCTCAATCGATTAACTCCTCTATTTCTTTTTTACAAATCAAGCTCCGATTTATTTTCGCTACATGATCGGGCTTCCACTAATCTTCGCTGCAGTATTCAACACAAGATATTAGTTTGAGAATCCCAAGACGCATATATTCCCGTTTGCAACAATCTACTTCAAACAGGCCTATTAAAAATGGATTTCCAAAATATCAAACACCTGACTGCTGCGACGAAGCAAATGCGAGAGAAATATTGGAACGATGCAATCAGAACTTCTATCTCTGTCCAGCAAGCTGCAACGACACAGGATCTTCCTGTCAAAGGTCCTGTATGGGTTAGCAAATTCACAGCACCGTCTCCTTCCCACGATGACAACTCTCGAGAGTTGCTTCTTGGTCTCATCGATGAGGCAAACACGCATAATATACATTATGATCGTCCAAATTGCGAGCCACTCTCCTGTGAATGGACAGGTTACCGCGAGGGAGTTGAAGCGGGTACGCCCGAACCACTACTGTCAGAAAATGAGAAGTATCAAAAATTAGTGGAGGGTACCAAGAGCCCATTAACAGTTTTGTATCTCTATGGCGGTTCATTCGTGTATGTGTACCCCTTTCAAATATCACTTGTAATTTACTCACATGTGAGCTTTAGACTCAATACCCCTTCCAGCTACCGAAGACGTATTGGAAGCCTAGCCAAAGCAACAGGAGGTAAAATCCTAATGGTGAAGCAGCGTTTGGCACCACAGAATCCCTTCCCAGCAGCTTTCCTCGATATATTCCAAGCCTACCTTTCACTTCTCGCACCACCTCCAAACTCACCACACGAAGCCATTCCAGCCAAGAACATTGTAATAGCAGGTGATAGTTCCGGATCCGCCCTCGCATTGAGCTTATTACAAGTTCTTCTGCAGCTCAAACGAAAAAATGCCGTCATCAATTTCCATGGAAATACAATCCAGCCAGCCGAGTTCATACCCGCAGGTCTCGCATTGTTGAGCGTCACAACTGATCTGGTCAATGCGCTTCCCTCACACAAACGAAACATAATGCATGATATATTTCCCTTTCCCATCGAGAAACTTCCCTACCTAGAAAAAAGCTTTCCTACCTGTTCGATCTGGCCAACCAAGCCCGCACGAGCAAATTTATACTGCGAGGCTGGGATGCTTGCTCACCCGCTAGCAAGTCCTGTTGCCTCCTTTGATTGGTCTGGTTCTTGTCCTCTATGGTTTGCATCGGGGCAAGAACAAATTGTGGATGGCTCCCGACTGTTAGCTCAAACTGCTTTTTCACAGGGCGTTCCAGTTGTGCTTCAGGAATATGAGGGTATGCCTCATACATTCTTCTGGGTATTTGGCGAAGCACCGCAGACGAGAAAGATTCTTGGTGATTGGGCTGGGGCAATAGTTGCTTTTGGGGAGGGCAAGAAATTCGTTTCTAAAGCGGAATTTATTCATGCTAAGGGCTTGAAGACAGAGGAGTTGAATTTGAAGAATTTAGTGTCTTTTGGTGTGGCAGAGGCGAGCGAGCTTCTCTGGAAGAAGACACTAGATTATAAGGTCCCATTATTTCACCAACACTGTCAGTCATCCTTGTAGTTGACATTTCTTTAGTCTGGAGCCAATTCAATTCGCATCAATTCGGTTAATCTATTGCTCTCTGAGACAATAGAAAATGTCGTCACTAGAGACCTATGTAATGAAAATTTTATTGATCAAGCCTTAAATTCCTCGAACTCTTCGCTTGCATTATTTGGTGTGTTCTCATTTATGAATTAACATCCCTCAGCATTATCCCAGCTCTGCAACTTATCGTACAAACAACCAACACTTCCTAACACCGTTACTCCAGGTTGCAGACGTAAGTAACCACATCCGCTCATCCGTCGCTTCATTGATGTGGCGAACGAAGTAAAATTAGACCCAAATTTACCAAGATTCCGTGATCGCGTACGGGACGCTATTATAAATACCTAAACCATGGTCTCCTTTTCCCTTCTTTCGGCTCTTATCCTACAAGGGTAGATACACTCATCTCCTCGATTCCCTCCTCGACTCTCTACTTCTATCTCTCTTTCTATCACGATCCTTGTCTCTGACTCTGTCGCGATCTCGATCCCTATCCCTCCTATCCCTATCCTTGTCTCTCTCCCTATCTCTACTCCTACTCCTCTCCCTCCTCCTATCCCTGTCTCTACTTCGACTTCTATACCTCCTGGAATGCCCATCTCTATCTCTATCTCTCCTATCATCGGGCGATCGGCTCCTCCTCCTCGGCCTATCATCATCTCTTGATCTTCTCTCCTTTTCCCTATCCCTACTTCTCTCCCTCTTCCTTGGGGAACTTCTCGCAACTATACTTTCCCTTCGTTCAGTGGCACCTGGTACATATCGGTCAATATTGATCGGACTAGTGCTTCTCTCGATCCGACTACTTCGTCTCGCAGTAGGTGACCTACTTCTTGCGCGAGATTCTCTCCTATGACTTTCCCTATCGCGAGAAATATCTCTTTTTCTTGCCGAGACAGGACTGCTCATTCTAGCATCATCCTTTGCTCTAGGTGTGGCAGCGATGGCCTCTTCCTTTTTGGTTGATAAACTAGGTAATTGCGGCTGATTCTTTCGTTCTTCGTTCCACTTTCTAGCTTCCTCAGCTCTTGCTTGTGCCGCAGCAACTTTGTATGATTCCGTATCGAGATTCGAGGCGCTTGTCCTAGTCACACTGCTCTCTGCACGTCTTGTGTCACGGTCCCCTACACGTTCACGGCTTCGTGATCTGTAACTTCTTCGTCGGTCGCGAGATCTCGATCGAATACGATCTCTATCACGCCTATCATCACGATCTCTACTTGACCTACGTCGTCGATAGTCGCCTCGATCCCGATCTCTACTATCCCTTCTATCTCGGTCGCGATCCCTATCTCTGCTGTCTCGTCGTCGTCTATCATCCCGATCTCGACTTCCACGGCGAGAGCGCTCATCCTTGTCTTTGCGGCCATCGTAATTTACTTCTGTAGCTTTAGATTCCTCATTAGTCTTTGTCTCATCCTTAACCTTAGTAGCATCCCTGCTTGATTCGGGACTTTTAGCTCGTTGACTACCTTCTTTGTCATGGCTGGACTCATTCGCCTTGTCTACCATCGGTTTCGTATCGGCTAGTTGAGGCGTTTTCGAACCGGATTCTTCCTTGAGCTTCGCAACTGCAGTTTTCTTATGCTCAATCGTTTTAACAGGCGTATCTCGAGATATTGGTTTGATGGCTGAGGCGGGCATTGCCTTTCGGGGAGGTGGTGCCAAGGTCTCGTCAACCTCCATCTCCAATAGATGTCTAGATCGATTAGCAACCTTTTTGCCCTCTTTTAGAAGATCATTAAGAGCCTCTTGTTCGAGACGTTCAATTTCTTCCTTAGATAATTCTGGCTTCGAGATAGGCGTTCGAACACCGAGGGAATCTCTGCGTCTATCGTCGTCATATCTTCTTCTTCGATCGTCCCTATCCCTATCCCGGCCCCTATCTCTATCTCCTCTATCCCGGTCCCGGTCGCGGTCCCGTTCTCTCTCGCGATCGCGATCACGATCCCGATCCCTAGCGCGGTCTCTCTCCCTCCTCTCCCTCCTCTCCTTGTCTTCCTTCTCCCGTTCTTTCTCCCTCTCTTCTTCCGCCTCCAACTCAGCCTTTTTCCTAGCCTCCCTCTTTCTCTCCTGATCAGCCTCAATTCTCTTCTCTTCTTCTCTCCTCTTTAATTTCTCTTGCTTTCTCTTCTCGTCTGCAATGGCCTTTTCCTTCTCTCTCAGTTCCTCCCTAACTTTCTCTCTGGCCGCTTTCTTCTTTGCAGCTTCTTCCGCATATTGCTCATCCGTTTTACCTCCTCTCAAAAACTCCTTCTCAGCTGCTTCTTCCCCAATGTCACTTTTGCGAATCGTGCGAACCCCTTCTTCAATTTCTGGAATGTATGCCTGTATTAATTTATCGATTGTCGCCTCCGCAGATTGGTAGATACCCGCGCGATCCACAGCTCCCTCGATAAGCAATGTAGCCTTACTGCGATCTAACCGGAGTAGCTGTCTGGGGTCCTTCTCTAATTGCTCTTCCGCAACACTCAATAATGAACTCGTAAATTCATCCTCAAAATCCTACAGTGACCACTCATAATTAGTATCTAAACAGTTATCTCAAAGAGCCCATTCATATTCCCAGAAATCTCGTGGCGCAAAAGCACGTTGAAATAATTTGGAAATACATACGCCTTTCTCCAATTCCTGCCAAATTTTGGTTCTCAACTCGTCATAAGTACCCTTCTTCTTGTATGTATGGGCCAATCCTTCAATGGCCGCTCTAGTCGCAGATGCAAGTGGTAACTCTGAAGTCTTTACTTTCTTTCGCGGTGGAGGTCCAGAATGACCACCATCTTTTTTGTAGGTAGATGCCATCGTCGCCATTCTTTCCTCGTGGTACTGAATTGAATTATTCAAAGTTTTTCGCAAAATTACTTCATATTGGAGGAGAAGAATCTTAACAACCTTGTGAATATTTGAAAGGGAGGAACAAAAAATATTGGAACGAGGAATCTCAAAGTAAGTTGTCCGCGCATTGAATTCAATTCAATAGACGCAAGTCACGTGTTGCATATCGATCAGCCAATCGCGCTAGTGCGATCTAAAGTGACCTTCAACAACCATCCGAGTGAATCCTGGAGTAGAAGCCGTAGTAGCGACTACACAACCCATCATATACGCCCGCAAATCTTCAATTCTGATTGTGCAGTTCACGCCATAGCCAAGCCCACAATTATCCACCCAAGCCTCAATTCTCATATCACAAACAAAAATATGGTTCACAAAGTTCTCTTCTGGACTGGCTTTGGTATGTTCCCCTCTTCCATCTGCCCCTCCTCTTACCAGCTAATTCCCCGCAAATACCACTCTTCTCCTTTCGTTTTACTGACATGCATTTACTAGGCCTCGCTGTCCGCGCCTGGCAACTCGGTCTCGAAATGCGACCTTTCTTCAACAGACAATCTCTCTGGGTCTACCCCGTTTTCGGCGGCGTCGGTGCTTCGTTCGGATATTGGATGCAGGGGGTTGAGAGCCGACAACAGGCTATCCTCGGAGCTAGACGAACAGCTATTTTGGAGAAGAGGGCGAGGAGGAAGGAGAGGGAGGAAGCTGTTGAGGAGTCATAAATTGTTTATTGGAAGAGCGCTGGGAATTTAAAAACCGGGGGGCGAGTGGGTTCTGAATGGGCAGGGGGTGACAAGAAACCAAGAAGAGATATGGAAATTGTACAAAGTTTTACGGGCGACTGGTCAATGAGAAAGAAATTGCACAAATGCCTCAACATGAAGATAATCCCCAGAGATGTCTCAATATGGTGCGGACGTTCACATGGATTTGAAGTAAGGAAGTCTGGACATTGCATTTCATTTCATCCAACCATTACACTATCATACATCAGATGTGATCCTTTTGATATCATCAAAATTCTTTTTGAACGCCATCCAACACCTGCCCAATGAAATTATGCTACTCTTTGAGCTCTCTAGATATCGCAACGCTTTATTGAGCTTCATTTACTAATCTATGAAGAACTGGTACAGAAGTAGTAGGTATACTTCCTGACTCCGTAACAACCATTTGAATATACTCGGCCGGAGTAACATCATACATAGGATTGCAAAGTTGGAGTTTCTTGACATCCATCCAATTCTCTAATGGTCCTCCAGCAATCACGAGCTCATTGGCTGGTGCAATCTCATTAAGAACAATTGAGTCCAAAGCTACTCGATCAGTGAATTTGATGGTCTCGCAAAGAACGATGACTGGCTTGTCAGCGGATGAAGCTTCCATGGCAACCAAAGCTGTTCCTATCCTTGAATATAATCGGCCATTATTCATCATTGCGTGAGCACCTAATAGAACTTTTGTTACATCTTGGATGTTATGACTTAGTCCATGAATCAAACAGTACTTGACTTCGATACCTAGACTGACTAGTGCCGATGCTAAATGCTTTCCCTCATGTAGAGGTCTCGAGTCCACTACAATGACTCTAAACTTCTTGCCCATTTCGTGGGCTCTCACTAACGCTTTTTGCACCAGACTGCTCTTTCCGTAAGTTAATATGACATCTCCATCTCTAATCTTCTCAGCAGTAGTATCGGCAATAACTTTATCAGCAAAAGTGATTCTCTCGCGCATAAAGACATCGATGGCATCGCAAACGCTCTCCTTCGCATCGGCTTCCGACAGATCTGGGTCCGTTTTTGATATTTCAAGCTTAAGATGACGAATAGCATTACCCATAGATACCGAAAGTGGGCGACAAGAAGCCAAGTACTCAATTTGAGGAGAGAGCACATGTGGTATGAAATGACGTGTAAGACTTGCCCCTACAGGGGTTTTGTAAGATTCGACAACCTAGAAAATGTAAGAAAGTGACAATGAGATCACGGCCATTTGAAGAGGGAGAAGGGTGGAGAAAATGGATGCATAGATGAAGTGATTCTCAAAAATAAACTCACTCTTTTAAATGCTTGCAGTGTTGCCACAAGTCTTGCGCAACTGCCGCATATTGTGTAATTGCTCATTTGCAGCCCAAG